TTAAATATTTTCAATATTCAAAAAGCATTTAAAATTGTATTAATCAATTTAGATTTTAAAAAGTTCAAAAACGTGGAATCATTTTTACTTTAAATGAAAATCATTAACATGTAATTTAATGCCTTTATTAGTAATTTAATTAAACTATCAAAAAAACTAATTTTTTTTTTTGCAAAAATGCTTCATTTTTATGCATCTTAAATATTTTCAATATTCAAAAAGCATTTAAAATTGTATTAATCAATCTAGATTTTAAAAAGTTCAAAAAGGTGGAATCATTTCTACTTTAAATGAAAATCATTAATTTGTAATTTAATGCCTTTATTAGTAATTTAGACTATCAAGAAAAAAAAAATGGAATTAGAGCAGTGTCAATTTACTAGTTTTGTAGATAATAAAATTAACGATCTGATTAAATGCATTTATTATTCATTATCAACTGATTTACAATAAAGTAATCAAAAGTATTTTCAAAAATTGCTTATACAGTTCAAAAACATTAATACTAAAGAATTGAATAATTCTTTTTCTTAAACACAGATTATTTATTTTAGTCAATTTTTTTTTCTTGAAATCAACTTAAACTGGATAATTTTATTATCTTTACTTGTCTTATAAATAAAAAATGTGTGAATAAAAATTTATGAACTTTTTTTTTGAAAAAAAAAATTTCGCATTGAATAAAACGTTTTCATTTTTTTAAATTTTGACTTTAAATTGAATATTTTTTGTAAAATTTAAATTAGATATGAACAACAAAATAAAATAAACGATTCACTTAATTTTGATTTGATTATTTGTTTATTACTGGGAACTGATTATCCATTATCATTTTATGATTACATCTAAACTAAACTTGTTTTCCATCAGATAATCCAATTAGGATTATTATTACCATTTTCATGGAAAATACATTCATCGCACCAATTCACAACAGTCAATAAGTCAACACTTGACACAGCACGTATGAAAAATCATTCTTAACTTTTAAATCATTTATTATAAACACAATACTGAACTTAAACGCATAATTGTATTATCCACTTTTATTTATTGTAATTGCATTGCTGCTATTCAAATGTTATACTTTATTATTTCATGTATTACATTATAATTAATTATATTATATTATAACTAATTATATTATAATTAATACTCTTTTTTGTTTGCATTTGCTCAATAAATAAAAAAGTAATATTTTCTTGATTTAATCATTTTTTGTTCTATTTCTTGAACAGTAACTGCAATATATGTGTGGATGACATTTATAGTATTATTGTATGATATCAAATTAAATGAATTATGTATGTAATTATTGCTCTTGAATCATTTTTATCACATTAACAAATATTTATCACAATTTTTTTTTGTCAAAAATTGTTTTTATTTTATTTGTCAGTTTCTAATTTGAATATTAATTGCTGGCAATAGTAGCTAATGTTATTAAAATTACTCACTTAGTATGTTTTGTTTCTAAAAAATTCATTAAATATTTACGTAATGACACCTATTATTGTAATTTATTATATTAATCATTAATAAAATTATTTCTATCACACTTTTTAAAAATATTAATAATGAATTAGCAATTTCAGATGCTGTAGAAAAAAAATACTGGTTTAAAGTTGTAATAAAGTTGGTACAACTTAGCGTTAGATTCAAAACAGAATTCATTGCACAAACATTATGCGAAGTAGTGTGTATAATGCTTCAATCAAACGTTATCTATCATACTTTATCAGTTGTGGATTATTAGCAGTGGTGTATATGGTGGTAATACATGGAATTCATCGGTTAAGCGTTGTTACAATAATTGTTATTACACCAACTTACAAACGACCAGAACGATTAGCAGAAATGACTAGGTAAAGTAATTAAACAAGATTGAATTATTCTTCAAATGAAAAAACTTAATAAAGATGAAATTAGAATTTATAAAAATTTTTTACTACTGCATTCAAAAAAAAAAAAAAAATGCATAATTAAGAGTATTTAAATGCGAAAGAATTTGACTATAAAGTATAGAATTAAATGAGTAAATGTGATAATTTTGATGCATAGTATTTAAATCCTCATTAATTGCATAGTAATTAAAAAAATTTGAATGAAAAAAATTATTTGCATTCAGGATTTCACAAACGTTATCACACATTAATGATCTGCATTGGATTGTTATTGAAGATGCAAATGAAACTGTGAAAGCTGTACAAAGAATCTTGAATAGATCAGGTCTCAAGCATGTATATTTTTATACAACTACTCAACCAGGCTTTCCTAGTAAGTTTTCATTTAGACAAATACAAAATAGTGCAATAAAATTTGCAATTATAAGCAAATTATGGATATGTATAATATTTATGTGGTCTATGTACTATTATTGTGTTCATGCTTATTTTTAGTGAGTGAAAAAATAATTTATATTTGTTATTAAAAAACTTTAAAGCATTTTATTTAATGATTGGAAAAAAATATTCGTTGAATTATATTTTATGCTATTTGGATTGTTTATCAAATTTTCGAAAATTGCTATTCCACTTTGTAGCAATTGATTTTATTCCTAATAAAACTCAAATTTGGTAATTAATCTCAATTATTTACCAAATTTAAGTATTATTATTATTACTTAAAATCAAAATTGTTTTTTAAGAGCGTTGGTGGATACATCGTAACGAGAGATTAAAATATATCCGTAAAAATTATCAAAATTTTATATTATTACTAGTATTATTACTTAAAATCAGAATTCTTTTTTAAGAGCGTGGATGGACACATCGTAACGAGGGATTAAAATATATCCGTAAAAATTATCAAAATTTTAGACGACCTGCAGTTGTTTATTTCGCTGATGATGATAATACATATGATATTCGTTTGTTTAATTATTATATCAGAAATGTCAAAACAATTGGTTTTTGGGCTGTTGGTAAGTTGACAGAAATAAATCATAAATTATTATTGTTTTTATAAGACATAAAATTGTAATGAAAGATATGAATTGATAAGTTAAAATAATTTTCACGAGAAAAAATTTGTATTAAGCAAAAATTTATATTTTATGAAAAAGACGTCTTCAAATGATTGATATAAAAATTGATATGATCGATTTTGTTTTTATGCTTTTTCTATTTTAATAAGTTAATTTTATCATTGTTTTCAAAGGTCTTTCGGGAAAAGCACTGGTTGAGGCGCCTCATGTTCAGAATGGTAAAATTGTATCATGGGATGTTGTGTATGCTCCAGATCGAACATTCGCTACAGATATGGCTGGTTTTGCTGTTAATTTGGAGCTTATTCTTAAAACAAAGTAAATTTTTCAAATTTATTTATGAATAAAAAATAAACTAAAGGATAAAATAATAAAAATTTGATTGTGGTTTTATTTGCAAAATTTTGATATTAATTTATGTTTATAATCTTTATGATATTAATAAATTATATCATTTTGTACAAGCTTAAATGAAAATGATAAATTAAAACTTTTAGATAAATTAAATAATAGATTAAAAATTACTAAAATCATATCAGATATGCTTATTTGAATTCTGAATTAAATAACAATATAATTATGCACTATTAAAGAAGCTTCATTTATTGTTTATTTATAGGGCTGTATTTCGAAAAGGCTGTAAAACTCCAGAAGATTGTTTTCTCAAGCAATTCAATATCTCATTGGCAGAAACTCAAGCTTTTGGTTATAATGAGATTCCAAAAGAAATTCTTGTTTGGCACACTCAAGCAAAAAAAGGAATATTTACTGGAGATCGTCATGGATATGAAATTGAGTAGGTTCATATCAAAATTAAGACTAAAAGAATTAATTTAAAAATCATTCTTACAAATTTGTTGCAAAGTTGTTTTGTTTGATACGGTTCATTATAAATTTATATTATAAATTAACAAATAGAATTATTATATATGAATTTTTTAATGTAATGAGCGGGTGGTAGTATTTAAATTGTTATTTGAAGCTGTTTAAATTGTATTTCTTTCATTATATGTAATAAATGTTGTAAAATAGTGCAGGTTGAAGATATCTTTGTTTGTTTTTTTTTTGTTTTTTTAAATGAAATCAACTATCAATTTTGAATAGAAACTTGATATCACATGAATCAAAGTAAGCATTTTAGTTAATCTTACTTTCAGTAATTTAAATACATTGTTCAGTCAATTTTCACAAATAATTTTTTACAAATATTCGTGATCTACAACTGAAATAAACCAATAAATGTTATTTAAATATTGATACATATTATTATGCATACAAAAGTGATCAAATTTGAATACAAAGTCATAAATTTATGCATTAATAATTAAAAATACTATTGAGTAATATTTTTTCTACTTGTGCATCAAAATATTTAAGTAATCATATTTATTGAAATTTTAGTTAAGATGTATTTAAATTACTTTAAATATGATTTAATACATTGTTAAATGAGTTATTTATGCGTTTAAATTTAAGAGCAATTTTTGATATCATAATAAAAGCATATGCAAAAGATATAAGAAGAAATGGTTTGATGAACAATAAAAATCAAGAAAGGGAATAATTTGGATGAGTTTTCATTGCAGAAAGAACTAGTTTTCATATCGTTCTCCTAAAACTTCTTGAACAAGTTTTTCATTCATAATTACTATAATTAATGTAAAAATTTGCTTTTATTTTATCTCATAATAATAACTTTTGCATCAAATTCAGTTATAAATTATGTAATACTTTGTAAGAAATTATTCAATATTGCATAATTACTTGATAATTGAATTAAAAAATTATACTATTTTCATAAACACATCAAGTTTTGCTTTTATAATTAATTATCTGCTGAAATATGGTAATTAACCAAGCATGTTATCTTATGCCATGAATGAATGCAGCAAATCAATTGCTAATAAAAAACAAAAATTAAATGATAAAAGCAAATTAGTTGTCAATTAAAACAATTTAAATTTTCAATCTTGTTGCAAATTTCAATTTTTAAAAAAATTTGCTATTCAATGAGATAAAAGTAAGCATAAATGCTAGTTTGAATGAGTTTATGTTGTAAACTTTAGTTACTACAATAAGTTATTTATGTAAGTTTTTATGTTAGCTATTATTTCAGTTTGCACATGACAAGCATTATTATGGATAGTTGTAAATTAAATCATAGATTTATTTTCAGTTAAATTAATGCATACAATGTAGTAATTTTCATTCATGATGTAATGCGTTTTTTATCCATGACTAATTTATTCATAATTATGTTAACTCATTGATCAGTTAAATTATGCTGATTATTTGCTGTGACTCTAGAATAATTAACAACATATGGCATTATTTTAAAGATTTTTACTACATTTATTAAAAAATAAATAGCAGTGAAAGCACAGCAGCAGATTTAATTTAAAAAAAAATTCACGAATTAACCTTTGTTGTATTATCAAAGAATCAGAAGAAAAAAGCAAACAACTTTAATATCAAAATGAATGCTGTAAGTAATAATGCAATGTCCTGATATAGTAAAATAACTGCATCATTTATTTCTGAGTACCAACTTTACATATAATTACTAACTTTACGTTAAGTAATCACTAATACAAAATATGTTTCGTTTTACTTATGATTGAGCGTAATAAAAATAAGCTAATATGAAAAGCATTTGAAATTGTCACGCAACGTTATTAACTTTTATGTATTTGCTTGTTAATTTGAGAAAGAAAGAAAACTGATAATTGATAACTAAATCAGTTTTAGAATCAGTGATTGCTGAAAACGATGCCAAATTAAGACAATAAAATTGATATTCGTTCACTCTATTCCTTTCCTTTCTAAACCTGAAACTTTTTGTTATATTATACCACAAAATGAATTCATCAACTGACCGTTCTACATATAAATTACTTTGTCAAAATCATTTACTTTTCCTTACATTAATTATTTCTTCCTTCAACTTCTACCATCAAATGACATTTTATTCTAATAATTTGAAATTTTTTTAGCTTATCAACTTATTTCATGTGTATATATAAGAGTAATTCATTTTATTATACTATATTAAAATTACTAACTGATAAAGTTTTCAACTTTGATAATACTTTATTATATTTATTTTGTGCTTTTTGAGTGCCATAATTTGCTTATTGCTTAGTGCTTCAAAAGTAAGTCTAAAATAAATATAAAAGTCAAGCTGATAAGTCGTTAATTATGAAAACTTGCATGAGAAAAATTATCACACAAAAGTAAAATTTATTAATTTTTAATTGAATTTTACAGATATATTTTTGCCTAAAATATGCATAACTTGCATTATCAAACCCTTTTTCTTTTCTTGTGCTTATTATTTTTATTGTTATTATTTAAGATGCAAACAAATATTAAATTTAAATGCGTAAATATTTGCTCACTATTTAAATTGAATATATGACATTTACATGTATCAGTATTTAACGATTTTACATTTGGATAAATATTATGACTGATTTTAAAAAGTTTGCTTGAATAATTTATGACTAATGTTCTTTTCAGGTTTTTAGAATAAAATGAATTTGCAGACAATTATTTTTATTGCTTATACACGCTGCTTTATGCTTTCATTACAGCAAATTGTATTGAATCAGAATCCATATCATATTCAATATGCGCCTGGAACAAAAAATCATCAAATACATAACCATCCAAAACGGAATGCATCAATGAGTAGACAGCAAGTCATGGCATTAACTACCAAATTAAGGGATTCTAATCAAAATTATCAGTATCGTTGGAATAGATATCTTAATACTTGGCAATATACGCCTTTAGAAATTAATAATTTCCAAGTTGGACGATTCAATAATGCAAATCAACCAATTACAATGAAACAGTATCCAAATGTGATGCAAACATACTCTTCGCCTCAAACAGATATTATTACTTCCCAATATCGTCATATGCAATTACCATATACTTACATAACAAAACCTTTATTACGTGAAACACAAACAAATATTACTCAATACTCTTCAGCTAATGCAGTACAAAAATTGACGCCACAAAGCATATCAGATTTAAATTCTGCTCAACAACAATTTCTGTCTTCTTCATCTGCTACTCCAAATTATCAGCATTCATTACAGCAACAAAACAATGAGCAATTGTTTCCACTTTGGAAACCTTATCAGACTGTACTCAAGCCAGATTTTTCAAATGCTGAAAGACGACTCAAGAAATGTTGTTCTAGGTTGGATAAAGCAGACCCAAGTTGCAAAGAACGATTTTGTGGTTTTGATGCTTTAGAACCACAAACGGTTTTGTTTAATTCCTTAATTTAGCAATTACAAATTACATCATGTTAAAATATCTTTTATTTTAAACAAGCATTAAGCGCATTTCAAAACTTTGCAGTATTACAATACGCGATGTAATTTTATTTACTACTAACTCATACAAGAAAATAAATAGTAAAATATTAAGAACGTTTAAAGATATCCAACTCTTAATGAAAAATTATAATACTTGAAAATTCAAAGTATGATACAAAATTTATTGATGTAATAATTTTGAGATATTCGTAAACATTACCAACATAGTTGTAGCCCTAATAGTTTTAAATTATGTACTAAAAGTTGAAGTTTATATAAACCTATGAGTAACAACATCCTTAGGTGCTCTTCTACTTGGCTACATGTCAACCCCGAGGACCCACAGTTGGTCAGATGTGGGATTGTGCTTCATCACGACAAAATCATACTGAATGCTGCATACGAAAAGGCGTAATGCCTCAATGCTTAGTTTACTGCGAAACTACTAATGGTGTACCAACAAATTACGTCAAATACCTCTTTTGCTTGGGAAATTTCCGTCAGGTACGTGATTGCTTCCGTGAACATTTGGAATCAAATCACAACTTATACGGCGACTGGTGACTCATCTTCCTCTTTTTTTCTTTTAGTCAATACTTTTTCAAAGAGATAAGTTTTCATGTACAGTTACCAAAAAATTGAACAGAAAAAACTACCTAGATGTGTAAACTTCAAAATTTTATTGGCAACTGTCAACTATATTTTTCTGCTGTTGTAATGAACCAAATCAAATACTCAAAAATCTCAAATCTAATTAAATTTTCTTATTAATACTTCAGTTTTTATAGAAATTTCCAATAAAACAAATGATATGTACTCATTTAAATACTGAATAATCTGATGTCTGAAAGTACCCTGTAGTAAATAACAAAACAAGGCATTGCCTTTTATTATCCTTCATTTCACCAATTTCATTAACATTCACGCCTTATAAAAAATTCAAAGATAACAATGCCTTTACCCATATTTGTGACAGTATAAGTATCAAGATTACATTGCCTGTCTTATTACAATAAATAATACAACTGCATCTCATACTAATGAGGAATCAAGCATGAAAACCACTACCTTTCTTACACGAGCAGACTACTATTACAACCTGCTTACGTAACAAAGCTGCAATACTTTAATAACGGCATTTTAAATTTGAAGTAAGAAAATGTATACCAACAGAAATTTCACGTAGTCATAATTTTGCTACATTTTCTAATCGTATTTTATAATGTGTTGCTCACTTTATTCTTTGTAATTTACACATATACATTGGACCACAGTTGGATGGTAAGAATGGAAGTATCAAAGAACCTCTACGAGGTTTATCACTAAACTGATAGCTGCCTCTAAACCGATACTCCAATTCTGACAATGACAATTCCACAGCCTGAAGCAAACATTATTAATTTTTTGAGCTTTTTTTAATATTTCAAAATCACTAGCTTTTAGTGTGCCTCCTACTTAAAAAAGAACATCATACTTTTATTCCAAAATGTGTGCTGGCAATTGCTACACCATTTTCAACCACTCCTTCATTTTGCACTGGAGATAGGGTGCACGTTGAATAAACAACACAACCACCAACACGCACTGAACGTAAAGCATTTCTGAAACATACTTGGTATCATAAATTACAGAAACATATCCCAATCATTAAATCAACACTCATGATTTCCTGCTTCAAAACACAGTTTTTTTCACTGCATTAAAAGAGAAACAAATAGCAAATACAAAATTTTACACAAGCATTCTTGTTTGTACTTGAGGTAAATTCAAACGCTGTTCAGTCATTTGCGACGAATATAAATTACCATCATCCCTATTTACAGAGAGACGATCCGAAGTACAAGGTGCATCCAGTAAAACCTTAATGGATTAAATAATTATTCTAACTTTTGAAGACGTAATTCAAAAGAAATTCTATTATAACTACTTAAATGAGATAGAAGTTTCACTCATAAATATTGAGGAAAGTACAAATGAAGAATACTTTATCATAAATACTGATTTCATCCCAAGTGTCCAAAATAGATGCATCCTTTCTCTTTAGAATAATTCGATCAGCTATTTCAGAACTGACTGGAATATACTGCCCTAAAGCTCTATGCAAATGACCTAGGCGACTTTGTTTATTATCGTTGCACGTTAGTTGACCTGAAAAATTCAAAAAAACGACACTAATCCATTTACTAATATGTTTTTCTATTTCGTACAGGTCAGAAAGAAAGTGATGCGAATATCAGCAGATTAGCAAAATTATGCGAACATGAGAAAAAGAAAAATTCGAACCTTTACTGAGAGGAGAAAAATCGAGTACAGTTGAAATCTGTCACGAAATTTTGTGTCATAAAAAATTTTTTACAAAACGATATTTCCCTTCATTTTTTAGTGAAATCAAACATATCCAAAAGTAGTTCTTTATTTAAGAAATTTGATAGTAGCTTAATAATGGCAAAATTAACCTTTATCCTAAAGAATATGACTAATATTAGTATTAATAACTTTTCCCCAAGGTGCGTGCAATCATTTAAATGCAACAGAATACATAAATAAGAGACAACGACAACAAGACATACAACTGTAGAGCAAAAATAAGAAATACTGAAAAAAAGACATTTATATGAAAAATGCAGACTAATATTTACGAAAAGAAATATAATTAAGTACTTCATTGCCATGAAAACAGACCTATTAAGTGTGTTTGAATGATAAGTAGGCTTTTTCCACCCGGTGCTGCACACATATCCAAAACATTTTCTCCTTCAGTTAAACCCAAAGCTAATACAGGCGCTATCGAACCACCATCAAGAAGCCACCAGCCTGAAATAATAATAATAATAATAAGATATAAATAAAATTGACGATTAAAATTTTCAAAAATTTGCAGAATCAATTTGTTTTTTTTCTATAATTTTATTTTTTTCCAACAAGATATAAAAAATTTGCAACATAAAATTTTGCCTTGAGTCCCAACTTCATCTTTTACAGGAGGTGGATAACAGGATAAGTTCCCATATGGAAAAGCATATATATCAAGCTTATTCGGATAATGTAATACATGATTCTCTTTCGGTAATTCTACATACTGTCCTTCGAAACCAGTTATTCTACAAAATTCAATGGTTTAAAACAACCTTGCATGAAATAATTAAATAAGGAGTGAAAAATTCTTGTAATGAAATAATCCATTCAAGACTTCAGAGAATGTCAAAAACTACAGATAATGCTCGATTTAGTAATAAAAATTATGGCTCACTCAATTCTCTTTGTGTTCACATTTGGTGATGCATCTTCTTTAAGATTTATCTTTTCATCCATTGTAACATTCCTACCAGATTGTCGAAACTGAGTTAATCCTCCTTTACCACGCATATGCAAAGGTTCTGGACCGATCTGATCCTTGAATAATAAAAAAAAAGTTAATTTCTTTTATGATCATAAATATTTCACCACTAAGGAAATGATGAGAAAATTAAAAAACAAAAAATCGATACTCAAACAATTTACATAACTGTTGCTTAGAAAACAAACACTGAAAAAGCTTTCCAATGACTTTTCTTCAGAAATACTAGTTTCAATGCAAATCTTGGGTTCTAATTGCTTTTCATCCGTTAGTTTACTTTCCTGTTCTCGTGCCTCTTCCAAAACATTAATAGCACCAATTTTTTTCATTAACATCTCATTTTCTTTCCAATTACTATAAAATTAAGAGTATTTTGCCACTCTGAGATTAACTACCAAATTAGACACAATGTAAAAATATAATTTGTATGAGAATCATAAGTATTTCATAAGAGAAAGCACTAAAATACTTCTCACTTCTTTTACTGAACAATATATAAATTCAGAAAAACTTATGATAATCACCTCGCAAATTTATTCAAAATTGCGAAATATTTGTTCGGTGTCAGCAGTGCCAAACGTATCGAGGGCCAGCGATTGCCATAAACAGGTCCATAATAAAAGTCAAAATTATCCAAAGCAATCATAGTCGGTGTTTTAAGTGGATAGACTTTCGCGTACTTCTCTTTAAAAACTTTTGAAGCGAAATATCTCTCTGATGTAAAATGCGTCTGCTCCGAAGAACGTAATGTCATCAATAAGATTCGTTTGCTAATCATGACTTGACTGCAATTAGAATTTTTATACAAAAATAAGAAAAAAAAGCATATTATACGAAATGTGATGAAACATTATATCAAATTAAACGTCATTTATAAATAAATAAAGTTACTTCTATGCTTTAATATCGCAACAACATTCATGTACGTATGTGCGTTTAGTTTTTACTTTAATTAGCTGCGATAGATATACGCTAGGGAGACACGATGAGGGTGCAAGAGTACGATGTAGTGCTGCAACTGAAGATGAAAAAAAAGAAACCTAACCTTCGTTCACTCAATAATAATAATAATAATAATAATAATAAAGAATTTTGAGATTACATATTTAATCATTGCTCATATTTGCCTTTAAATCTTCAAGACATTACATCATAACACTGCAAAGAAACTTAAGAATTACAACGGAAAAAGTTTACTGCCATATACGCATTTATTAACGTCACATCCACATCCCTAAAAAATATAAACCAAAAAACCTTACATCGAAACTAAAAACCAAACTTCTAGAACTTACTTGTATATACATATTTTTGTCTGCAAAGCTGATGTGGTATTTTGCGGATCTTTTGCCTTTAGGTGGTGTGCAATTTTGTAGATGTTACGTCAAGTAAATTTTTTTTGAAAACTGAACTCGTTCAGGGAGCTGTTTGGAGGATGTACTTCTAGATACTAAAATATAAAGTAGATATCAACTCGTTTGATAGATATCAACTCGTTTGATAGATATCAACTCGTTTGACGTGAAAGAATCGAATACAATATTCACTGATTAGTTTTAATTTTCTATTGTACAAGGTAATTCGTTTTCAGTGCATGAAAAAATTGACGTGTACTTGATTACACGTATTCCTCATAATAAGTTCGTTGATTATGTTAAGTTTAGCCTGAGAAAAATTTAATTTTACATGTAATACGTTTAATATGAAGTCTTAAAAAAAGGTATTCTAGACGGAGATGTTTGTGCTGACTAAAAGTGTCAGCATTTACAATTATTGCCATCAGTAAATATATAAATCAAATGATTAAAACATTTGTTATTATTTTGTTCTATTTTTCGTTTTTTTTGATTGTCAGTGACATTTGTATATTTTCATGTTAACTTCCAATACATATAAAAATACAGATTATGGTTTTTTTTTTCTTGAATTTTTTGATAAAATATAAATTATTCGAAAGTAACTCTTTTATGTAGTCAGTTATGCTTAAAGACTTATTTAAGAAAGTAAAGTTGGTGCGTGATGACGTCGAATACACTGCAGTACAATATGAAAAGCACAAGTAAGTATTGAACGTTTATTAAAAAGCAAAATGCTAACTTGTTCAAGTATAATCATTACTACTGTAATGAATGTTGCACAGAAGATTCTTTTCTCATTCAGCCTGCAAAAATAGTATCAATTTCGAAAAAGTAATTTTTGTTTTGTTGTAGAATGTACTTCTGTATTTTTATTTTCAAATTTTCGCTCATCTGTTTTGTGCATATGGTAAGAAAAATATTATAGTAGTGTTGTATTTTGCTCATTTTTGTTTGATTTAGTGAACACAAATCAAAACTTCTAAAGTTAAAATACAAGGATAGTATTGTTACAGGTGTGAAAAGACTAATGAAAGAGGCAATGGAATTGCATGATCCGACTGATATGTACTACGCTCAACCTCTTGAAGTAACAATTTTGTTAAATGATATAAAAGCTTCAAGAGTATCATTTCTGATTTATTCAGTGTATTATAATATTTAACCACCAGTAGCAGTTGTAGTGATATGAATAACTTTTGAATTAAAAATGAGCAAAAGTGCAGTTGTTTCGAAGTTTTCTTCTGATGTATTGTACTTCACTTAGTAATCTCTTCTATATGAATGATATTTGTGGCGAGGTTGTTCGATAATATCAGCATTTAAAAGTTTTCTCAATTTTAGTGAGTTCTTTATTGTTGTTAAACAATGTTTGTATCGTATTTTCATATTATAGCTTATTAAATGATTTGTGCGTCCTATCTCATATCTACTGACTTCTTTCTCAAACACAGGATGATCTTTTTGAGTGGCATTTCACTGTTCGTGGGCCAGCGGATTCAGATTTTGAAGGTGGTATTTATCATGGACGAATACTTTTGCCCGTGGACTATCCTATGAAGCCCCCAAGTGTTATTCTGCTAACTGTAAGTCAGAAATTTTTCTTAAAAATTTTGTTGTTCAATGATGGGATTGAGTAACTGAAAATTACATATTTCGTTTAAACAAAGTAGGCTTTGTTCTATTTGCTGGGTATGAGCCATTACGTAAAAAAGTTTTGTAGCCTAATGGTCGCTTTCAATTGAATCAGAAGATATGTTTAAGCATATCTGGCCATCATCCGGAATCTTGGCAACCATCTTGGTCTAGTAAGCTATTTATAATTTATTATAAAAGCGAAACAAAACTAAGTCAAATGGCAGTTCATAACAATTAGAAATAGTTCATCCTGGGTATTGTCAGTCTCATTTTAATATATCAATTTTAGTTCGCACTGCTCTTTTGGCTTTGATCGGTTTCATGCCTACTCATTCCGCAGGTGCTCTCGGTTCCTTGGAATATCCACCTGAAGAACGTCGAAAGCTTGCTAAACTGTACGCAGCATTTATTTTCTGTTTATTAGCTTAAACATCTTCATTTGCTTACTTCTTTTACTTCTTATCCAGTATCATCTGAGGCAAGATTGTTTGGTAATATCAGCGTTTAGAAATCTTCTCAACTTTAGTGAGTTCATCATTTTTATACCTCTTTATTTTTCTCACTGTAAGTAACATAAATCTAAATTCAACTGAAGACATTGGTGTAAATTTAGATTTATATTTAAGAAGTCGTAATTGGGTGTGCAGAGAATGTGGCTTATGCATGCGGGATGCACTAATTCATGAAACAAACTATGCTGTTGATCGTGATACTACGGAAGGACATAGTTGTAACGACGTTAGTTTCATTCCAAGTTTAATTCTGAAACTAAAAACAAAAAGGATTATTAGTAAAAAAGTTAAGTAATATAAATGATAAAGAATGTTTTGATTCTTTCAGATCGAAGTATAGCTGCTTAGTTCATACAAGATATTTTTAAATCAGGCCTTAGCTTTTTGACTGTGTGCAAATTTCATTTTGTTCCTTGAGTAGCAAATGTAATGTCGTATGACCAATTTTTTTATAAGAATATGACTTTATTGACTACAATCTTACTGATTGCTACATGTAAAAACTGTAACATTGTAATTCATGCTAAAGTCTTCATAGGAAGAAGATACAGCAGAACAAAAAGAAATGAGTGAGCAGGAATCTCAAGAAACAAATAGTGCCCTAAGAAGCATGGATTTTATCAAAAATGATGAACCGTTAGCGATGCAGACTCTTCGGCACAGACGATTATCATCGCACCAACGCGGGACATTTACCTGTTCTGGCGGCGGCAGTTTAATAGAACCTTCTTGTCTGTGTTCGTGGAAATTAATATTTATTTGGGTACTATCAGTACTAGTTATAAGCCTGATGTTAAGAAGATCCTTTCTTCTGCATACTAGCGACAGAACCTAATTTCATTCATCATTAAATCTATATTATCGTCATATATTAACTATTGGGAAACATGAATATACATACTGTTCCTTGGTTTACATCTTAATTTAATTGATATTAAACCTACCGAAATTTAGAAAACACTGCTTCTGATCCTGTGTTGAGATTGAAGGATATTTAGGCATATGTATAAGTGCTAGTTCATACCCGTTATAGATATATACGTATTAGTTCATATTCGTTACCACTTAGGAGCGAAGTTTGCCTTTCCGAGACCTTTGATTTTGTCTAGCTAATCGATTACTGCAACTAATGAAAATTTATTTCTAACATTAATTTGAAAATTGACGTTGCGCACTCCAATTTCGTAAAAAAGAAATTTTACACTAGTATTTCTGATCATTTCCGCTACATTACAACTTTCATCTTTTGTGCCTTGCTAGCTGGGGTTGATACGAATAATTGTGGGCTCAGTGCAACTAAATGAAAAGTTGGCAATGAGAAAAACATTGCTTTCTTTTGCATACTAAGATTTTGAAGCTAGAATGTAGGGAATTATAAGATCTTTATTGGAGCGGCAAGTGAAGACCATCAGAATTATTTCTTTTTAAAGATTGTTGCAGTCTTCTTTATACGGATTAAACAGATTGTTTACCTGTGACAGATTTTTTTTCTTTAAAGTGTGTTTGCTAATGCTGTGAGACCAGTCCTAGATACTTCCCGCAGTTCGGATTCGTTTAGTCGCAGCGTACTATCTGCTATAGAAATCTCAATGTAGATTTACTTATATTTTTTTTTGGCACGTAATCTGGAGCACTATTATCTTTGACATTAATGTACTCTAGTTATTTCTGATAAAAGTTTCCTCTATGACTTTGAAGGATAATAAAATTGGAATCAAAAGAGGTCTCACCAGTTTGAATCACATTTTTGTGAGAGGCATTCTCAATATAGTTCAAAGAATGCATGATTAATCGTGGGAATATATGAGCTCATGTCGCTGTTAAGACATCTGCACATCGTAACAGCTTCAATTACAAAAGTAAGTAAATCCCAAGTACAAAAATTTTTAATTGGATTGTATTATAGAAGGTATATGACTAGAATAAGAATTTACATTGTATAAATGTGCAATGACAAAGAGGGATTCGTAAGAATGTCGACCAGCACAAGAAGTAGTGCAGAGTCGCGCTTTTTTTTTACAGTGTCAAGGATCATGAGAAACATCTCAACAAACATAAATTAAATTTAGGTGAAAGGATCATATTTTGAATGACAGTTCCTTGATTTTTTGGCTCGAATGCCAAGTGACAAACGTGGGAAAGACAATAACCTATAAAAATGTTCCAGGGCCCATCGTGGATTCTTTAACGACAAAAAGTAGCATCGATTTGCGTAACCTGAGGTAAACATAGCATTACTTTTCGTCGGTAAGTACTTGGGTCCTTTGTATAGATTGGATTTCTTTCAATATAAATAGTACGCAGGGCAGGCATGTTAGAGAGTTTGGCTAATTCATTCCAGTCTGATATTTGATTATCGTTAAGCTGAAGGTTATCACAGGTAACTGAGTAAAAAAAATTAAGAACATGAATTATGACTTGAAAAATCTTTAATGTTCAATAAGTGCATCTGTAAGTTTGGTTAAGAATCACTGCACTTCGTACTTATAAATATCCAGAAGTTCCTTATATAATATAACCAAACATACATGCATGATTATTTTGTGTCAGTATTTCTGAATCAAGTATGAGTTAATTTATAATCATGAACGTACCCATATATCTTCTAGATGATCCAAATGATTAAGACCATCTAATTTAGCTATTTTATTATTTGCAGCGTCGATTATTGTAAGCTTTTTCTGCAAAGATAGTTGTGTTCAAAAATGAGTAGTTCTTTAAACTCAACTCATCGAAACAGTGAAAATTATTTTCTTGAAAATGAGATAATCAAAAACAAACATGACAATAGTATAATATAAAATATAAACCAAAACTAACCAGATGCGTCAGGTCAGTGAAGTATTCAATGCCTTGATCACTGATGTGAAGTTCGGTAAGCTCAGTAAGCATAGAAATCCCGCTCAACTCTGTTAAACGATTAGCCTGCAGCAAAAAATATTACACGCAATATGCCATAATTTACACTTTCGTAAAAAACACCATACAAATGAAAGAATAAGTTAATTAAACGATGGTTATAGGAAAACACAGTAGAATTTACTGGAACACTGAGCAAAGTGAGATTTCTCAAGTCTTCCAAATTTTCTAATTTGCGAAGTTTGTTCTTCCCAAGGTACAATTCCCGAAGGTATGTCAGATGCCCAATGTTCTCCAGTTTCTGAAACAATTTAAGCTTCGAAGATGAAATATGATTTTCAAAGATAAAATTGTGCTCCGAAACAAATCAAACTTTGATTCGGTTATCCCCAAGCTCAAGAACTTCAAGTTTTGTAAGCGACTCCAAGCCACTGATTTCGTTTATCTTATTATGCACCAAATAAATACGCTTCAGATTAAGCAAATTTGATAAACCTTCGATTTTTCTGATACGATTATAACTAAGATCCAGGACTTCAAGATTTTGTAGTCTATCAAGGCCAGTTATCACCTGCAATGACAGGATAAACGACAGTTATTATCTACTGACTCTCTACAAAAAACAGCAGCGTAATCTGTAATGAAATACGATGTCATGTTGAACAAATTTTTGACAAATAAACCTGAATTCTTTTATCATGCTCGAAAAAAGATACACCACGTTATCAAATATGAAATGAATCTTAATCAGAGATGAGACAGAACTCAATTATTTAAGCTAATGATATGAAAGTAACGAAGCAGTCTAAAATATAGAGTTACCTCAATTTGATTATCGTATAAATCGAGTTGTGTGAGAGTTTCAATAACGATATTTTCGTTTAGAGATCCCAACAAATTATTTCGTAAGCAGAGCTCCTATAAGACGTTATGAGAATTAACAAAATTATGGTTCAAAACTGGTTAAAAACATAGTTTCTGTAAACTGTCTTCATAAGCTAAATATACGTATACCTTTAGTTTCTTAAATCTTGAAAAATCAGGGATGAAATTGACACGGCACTGATTTAAATCGATGATCTGAAAAACAAATACCCAAAAACTCTAGTCACAAAAAAAAAAACCTTCCACTTCATAGTAATTTTTTTATCACGTTAACTTACTACTTTTAGTAGCTATTCATAAACACAAGATGAAAGGCACTGCAGAAGAACTTATTCAGAAACACTCAGCACATCATGACAAAAGAATTTCCGTTTGGAATGCAATTCAGATATTATATACTCACTTCCGAATCCAGGCTAAACTCGTCTAAATCATAAAGATTACGATGACATTCATTTGAGCGCTCTTGGTGTTCCACGTCCATGCTTTTCTCTGGGCCATCATCACATTCCATAGCTGAATTTATTCAAATTTTTGTATCATAACACAAACTAAACATGTAAAACGTTTGCAAATTACGCATGTCATAAAACAACGAATAAATCAGCCTTAAAATTCATGAATAAGTAATTCTACGTAATGATATAACAACCAATAATGATGTTGAAGCAATTCTTTACAAAGTTACCTAAGTATGTGATATAATCAACCATGCATTCTTTAGAAAGCTATGTAAAAGTAATTCAAAAGTTTTATCATATCAAAAAAATTTTTGCACGCTTGCTAAGAATACATCATAATTTGTAATAAAACACAAATTTTTTGCTCGCATTATGACAAAGTAAATCATCATCACACTACTGCAAATTACCACTGTTGACATTCCGTCTTTTCATTCCTTTGAATTGTTCTTTATTTAACAATGGATAGGCACCAATACTAAATACTAATACAGGTACAATAATCAGAAAACCGAATACAGCAATTGTTCCAGATTTTGGTCTTTGATACAAAGCTAATCGTGAATATTTGTTAAGAAATAAATACCATAACGGCCTGCGTGATTGCTTCTCCATTCTGTTTGTCATCAAAAAAATAAGACTACACTTCACCTAACGACAAGCATCAATTAATGCATTTAATCAAAATTATTTATACAAGTTATACACTAGAATAAGCAAGAACTTATTCTTACAACATGTTCAGTATTGCATTTGTTTAATTTTAAGTGCAAAAAGAAACACAAAAATATGCTTTCAAGCAATATGACAAATTTTAATATATATTATTATATCGAAAAATTACAACTACTTCAGTAATCTTCTCAACTTCAAAAAATGTATAACGATAAACATACAGAAGTGTGAACAAAAATCAAATTTTTTTTACAACGTTTGCCCCTGCAATCTAAACACTTGTTAATTGACGTAACTTTAGTGTAATAAATTGCAAAAGTAAACGTGATACTTAAGTATACTCACTTGCTTGATTTTGTTCAAATTATACAAAATACGTGTTATTCAAACGTTAAGATTTTACAAACTACTCTGTTTGATGACTTACTTTTGCTAACTTTTTGTTAATCTTTCTTATTTTGTAGTAACTATGCAAATTATGTTAACATACAACACAACATATGAATAGCAGAAATGAAAATGATAATAACAGCTATAACAATTCAGCACTGGAAAAGAATTTATCATTCCTTGCTGTGTCGTGTTCCACATCTACTATTGGCATTGAGAATGGTATCTAGTATTTACTATATTTATTTTTTTATATTATCTAAATTTAATACTTATTGTAATTACCTAATATTTAAATATATAAATAACTACATATATTTACCTTTATTTTAATAAAATTTTATAAAAATAAAAATAAAAAAATACACGTGTTAATATATTTGTAATTATCAGACAGACGTTACACTCACGTCATTATTCATAAAATTAAGTACTACTAGCATATTCGCATGAATAACAGAATGGTAAGTAACGCTGTCGAAATTTACTTTTCGAGAGCTGTAGCACTTGGTAGAAACTTTAGAAAGAAAAATTGTGACTTACATCTTTGAGTGTGTTCAGTTCTGACACGATGCTTCTATTCTTCTTATGGTGTGTCGCACCATCTTTGAGATGGACTTGAAAGGGAATTCGTCATTTGACCGATATCGATTGATTTCTTGGTTTAGAAGTATTGTTTTCATCAGATCACTGGTAGTGTAATAGAATTCTTTGCTAAATGTACCTTCTATAATGTTAATTATAGGTGGTGCATTTTTGTCTTTGAGTGAATGTTTGGTTGCGATTGGTGATGTTTGAGGTGTAATTGCATTTTGAACTCGTACTTCCTTCACTCTAAATTCAACTTTTTCGCTGGACATATTTAGTTCACAAATTAGCTTAATTAACAAAATACAAAAATCTCAAGAAAGTTGTCTGTATAAGATTTGAATTATATTTCAAAAAGTTATAGTTTCTTTTATTTGATAAAATTGAAAGTTTTTGAAAGCAAGATAAGAATTAACGTAGTTTTTTAACACTTTCTTTTTTTCGAACTGTGATTGGTCATTCTACGTCTATTAGTTTTTTTAAAATGAAGCTATATTTTTTCATTCACGTCATACTCAGTGCAAAAGATATTAGCGTAAAATCATTTCAGAAGGCATGTACTAAGAATACTCAATTTTAATCTTAAAAAAAATTTGATTGTACTTTTGTTGAATTCTTTGTCCAGTTTTTTCTCGAGGTTGCTTTACAGTTTCAGCACCTTTATTCTAAAATAATATTTCATGCAAAATATTAATGTTCAAAACGTGTAGTAAAAATATGACAATGATGCACTTTCAATGCATTCTACGTGTTAGATAATGCAGTATCACTGAATAATATTAATAATTAATAAATAATATGATATGTTTTGTGTATTGAATTGAAAATGAAGAATACTTGTGTAGCTTTACGTAGTTTGTGTTTGCATTTATTCAATAAAAAGTTATTTACAAAATCTTTCATTAATTATTTTTTTTATTTTTTCTTGTCGACATTTTACAAACTTCATATTATTATATATTTTCTTGTTTTATTATGACATTAAATAATTAATGTCTTGCCTTTTGTTTATGTTAAATTTATCCTTTCATTACATGCTTCGTTTCTGAACCTAGTCTGCTAGGTATGGAAGAGATTAAGTCACCTGATAGTAGCAGTCATGTTTTTTGTCTCAATTTGTGCCTTACTAGCTAACTAACCTTTTTATTTCGTCTAGTTTTTCGACACATTTTACCACCACTGCTTTTCTAATAGTCAAAATAATAACAATACCATTTACATCATTTCTGTCATTTTTATAATGCAAAGTTTCGAACTTTTGGGTATTCAATCATTAGGCTTTTTAAGTTTTTAAATTTACCAAAATTGTTTATTCAAAAAAAATTATGCTTATAAACTCATCATCTAGGCAAGTATTTGACGTCACGAATTATCGTCGTTGTTATCATGTATGCTGTAGAACACTGAGTGTTGTGGAAGCTATATTTACTTCCATATGATCAGATAGTTTAGGCTTATAATTTTGTCACCAAATCCATCGTGCATTAAGTTATCATAAAAGTGCTAGAAATGATTTTTGAAAAGTTATCTCGAAAAAAAAAAAATTAGTTTAGAGTTACTTATGTCTAACCTATATTTCGGCCAACTTTTTCTTCACACATTAAGAATATTGATACAAAATAATATAAAATGGTTTAACATTATTAAAAAACATGATAAAATCACTCTTTAACTTCATTTTCATGCACTCTTGCATCAGGAATAATCTGTAAGCGATCGGGATTGTTTATATATTTGGCATTTGCAACTCATTCAAATTAGTAATGGTTGGGGAAAATGGTGCGAAACAGTGGTTTATTGAGCTTGCTAAAGCTGATACTAGCGGAGATTATGGAAAGGCATTGAAAATTGCTAATAAAAGTTAGCTGTTTATAAAAACTGTAATAAGTACATTTACTTTAAATCCGTAAGAAAGTAAATTCTGATTATTACATGTTATTATCGCAAATCGAAGTCATCTGTGTTACCGCACTAGTAATTTTATTCCATAGTTTCGCTTCATATTTTCACTAGTTTTATCTGTTATCAGTTCTATGGATGCTACTTCATTTGAACCAATTTTTAAATCAGTTTATTATGATATATATTAAGCAGTCAATAATTTTCAGTAGTAGGTTTCAATAATGTAATTAAATTTTAAGGAATATGCTACGTTGTTTTCAGTATTGCGGATGTATCCAAAAGAGACATTAGCATTCAAATGTAAATTGGTGGCATTAATACATCTTGGACAGTTGGATGAGGCACTTACTCTGATCAAAAAGACACCACCGAATCATATGGGGTAATGATGAAATTCGGAATATTGAAGATTATAAAATTATCTGCTTGCATGTTGACACATTTATTAATAAAGTTTAGAAGTTTATTACATTCAAAACTTATGTCTTTTTTGATTTCCAGAGAATGTTTATTTGAAAAAGCTTATATTTTGTATCGATTGCAAGATGATGCTGGTGCTTTAGAGGCGTTGGATAAAGCTTCATTTGATGATTACCGCTGCATGGAACTTAAAGCACAGCTCTTGTATCGAAGGGAACGTTTTAATGAAGCTTCGAGCATATTTACGTTTGTTCTACTACATTTTCTTTTTTTTTTTGACTGGAACGGACGAAAATCTCAAGTTTCTTAGGATTCTATTAAGTATATTTTATTCTGTACACGTTAGTTTTGAAGCAGAGATGAGAGTTGTTGCTTTAGTATATTTAATTACTTTTAGGGCACTGTTAAAAGATCATTCGGATGATTATGATGCAGAACGTTGTGCGAATATGACTGCAACGACTGCTCACTTGCAGGCCAGTGGTCTCCAACAGGTTTGGACATAATAATAAATCTACTATTAACTCGAAATCGTTCATCACTATCATTGATTATTATTTGTAAGGGCCGAAGAATGAATATACGCTGTAAGAACTAGAAAAGTTTGTCAAATGATAATATTTTTCTTAAAAAACAACCTTAAAATAGACAAAAGACTCATGCTGTCAGATATGACATTGAATTTAGATATATTAAGTAAAGTATTTATAAACAAACGTTTTATAGGATTCTTTGGAAGGAACAGTAGAGACTAATGTTCAAAGTAAAAAATCATTCTTTTTTCCATATCATTTCAGCAGCCTCCAACACATTTAGACACTTTTGAGCAGATGTATAATAGTGCATGTCAGTTGATTGAAGCAGGAGAATATGCCCAAGCACTACGATTCCTTGAAAAAGCTGAAAGTTTGCTTTTGAAACGTTGTTTACTAACTTTAGACTACATTTCATTAGATTGTTTTAGAAATGATTGCGAGCTTTTTTGTTGTATTTGAAGAGTATAAATCCTTGTGTATGTCTTTTTCAGGCGTGTGCAGCGATACATTAGTAGAAGAAGGTTTGTCAGACGACGAAATTGAGGAAGAGCTGTCTGTGATACGAGTTGAGAAAGCATTTGTTCTTCAGATGCTGGGCAAAAAAGAAGATGCATTGAAAATTTACTTGCGCGTGCAAGATCTGAAGTTAGAGAAATTTGAATGTTTTGAATTATTTTTGCAAGTTTGGGTTTTGCATGGCTTTTGAACACTTGTAATCTCTGAGTTGTACATTAGTTTTTCGTTTTAGTCCGTCAGATAAGAGCGTCATTGCCGTAATCGCAAATAACATACCATCATGTCGCGTGGAACAGAATCTCTTGGAAGCTCGAAAAAAACTAAAAACTGCATTGCAAGTTGAGAGTTCTAAATTGACGATTCGACAGCGACGTACTCTTTTATTAAATCAGGTTTTGAATTCAAAAAATCATAAGAAGTCACTGTAGTGTTAGCAAGTTTAGTTAAGTGGTTATAGAGTAAATATTGGTTCTCATAACATTAGCCTGGAACTTTGTCCGCTTAAATGTTCAATAATTACGTTGTCCTTATGATTCTGGCAACATATAAGCATGTTATTGGAATAGTTTTTATGTGAATCAAGTTGTTGTGTCATTTGTGCATTAATGAACAGTTTAATTCACAAATTATTGAAAAATTTTCAGTGCATTTTTGGTTTCTAATGTATTTTTTAAGCTTTTTGTATGAAATTTAGGCTTTAGTGCACCTGTGTTCAAATCAGCGGGAGCCATGTCGTCGATTACTTGAAGAATATAAGAAGAAGTATGGTATTTCCACAGAGTTGGCACTCATGGAAGCAGCACTCCTTGTTCGCTTGAAGGAGTTTCACAAAGCATTTGATATTCTTGCAAAAGATTCGTCAAATGAAGCAAAGTTAATGGGAGTGCAAATCCTGTTAGATGAAGGTATGCAAAATTCCGTAATGTATAAAGTTTGTCGCTCTATAAATCAGTTTTATTGTCTAAATAATGACTGGAAATGAATATTTTGTCCTCACTTTAATTAAATAAAAAATTGGGCAAAATATTTTTAGTGCATGATAGCCGCAACATTTATTACAGCCTGAAATGGGAAGCATTTATCTGTATTTGTAAAGAGCATTTCTGCTGAATAGTGTAACGTAGGAACATTCTTTACGAATACAGATAAACACCATATACTAATAATTTTTGATATTTTTCAGCTATATGCTTTTTTCTTGTTGCAATTTTTAGGGAGGATGGAAGATGCCGCTAATGCTTTGGATGCATTACCTTCGGATTTGTTATCTTGTCCAGCAATCATACAGTTGAAAGTTGCACTTTTGTTAGTCACAAACCAGCACAATGTAGGTTTCATTGATTTATCTACATGATTTTCCTGTATTTTTATTATATATGTAAATCTTTGTGTATTGAATATTTTTATGCATTTCATACGATCATTTTGCTTTTAAAATTTCAATTGTAGGTGGCATTGAATCTCTTGAAATCCTCACTAAACTTGGCTAGAACGGAAAATATTAGAATTGCAATGTTAGAAGAGGTTGCCGCACTTAATGCTCTAGTGGGAGATCATCGTTCCGCTGCTGAGTGTTATGAAAAGCTCCTAAAACTTCGTCCAGACGATGTGAATTTAACGTGTCATTTAATCAAATCGTACTCAACATTCGATACACAGCGAGCTGAAGAGTTGTCGACAAAAACATTTCCACGAAGAACTGGTGAGAAACTTGATGTTAACGCTCTCGAAAATTCTGGTAGCATGCTGTATAGTGAACGTTATCGTCAGAAAAAAGAAATCAAGATAGAAGTACCTGATTCGGTTTGCCATTACTTTTTAATATCAAGCACTTTTTTGATGGATTTATAGAAGAGTCAGCACCAGTTTTTTGTGAATTCGTCTATTTTTTTAAAACATTAAGCTGACTTTTAGTAGTGCATACAGTGAAAAAGTTCAAAAATTGACTGAATAATACTCTACTAAATATCGAAATACAAAATTAAGCAAGGAAAAGCAGTTAATGATATAAAATACTTTTGAATACTCTTTTTTACTATTCGTAAATGCAACGTTACAGAACTTTTTAATGCAGGAGATCGTCACTGGTAAAAGAAAATCTCGAAAACGTAAGCGAAAGATTATTTTACCAAAAAATTTCGATCCTAAAGTCCCTCCAGATCCAGAACGTTGGCTGCCTAAACAAGAACGTACTGCGTTCAAGAAGAAGTTTAATAAGAAACATCGTGAACGTGAAATCAGCCGAGGCACGCAAGGAGCAATTAATTCCTCTCCCATACTGTATGTGCTTATATTTATTGAAACTCACTGAGAGAAAGTGATCCATGTACACTTATTCATTATTTTTCGTTGCTTCAGTAGCATCATTAAAAGCATTATTTTAAGAGAAGTAATGACTACTACACCAAAGGGGAGCAGTTCACCTCATCAGACAGGTTCATCGATGGGTTTGGAAGGCCCACGTCAACAAAGACCATCTGGTCAGCAACCCAAAAAGAAAAAGAAAAAGACGGGTGGTAAATGGTGATTTTTCAATCATGAATTGATTGTATTCCATATCATTTTAATTTATTTGCCTCTTTCAGCTTGATCAACTAGTCATCATGTTTCTTTCACTAAATTAATCTAAAAATTCAAAGTGCTTTCTACGCTTTTTCTTAGAAGCAAATGATTTTTCGCTCATGTTTTCGAGCGTAGAATTAAAAAAATTCAAAGAATAGCTGAATAATGGTCTAATCGATATCGAAATATGAAATTTAATTAGGAAAAGCAGTTAATGCTGATGTTTAAATGTTCATAAAGGTAAAGTTTCCCTGAAAATGGTTTATGAAAAATTTTGAAGAATTTTAAATCATTTGCATTCTCACACAGTTTGCATTGAGAAATGTTATTATATGCATTATTTGATGATTTAGTAATCTCTGAGAAAGTCATTTACAAATGAATGCAGTACAAATTCCATGTTTTTTCTTAATTAGTGTCAATTTTGTTTCGATAAAATGAAATAACTCAGTTGAACCATGTACTTTTTTCCAATGTTACGTGCTCTTTAATTTTGAATTTGAAGATGAAAAATCTTCAGATAATGATTTCTGTTAAGTTTTATCTGTATAATATCATTCCTAATTTTATTCAGTCAAATGTACTAAAATGTATGTGGGTAATGCTGGTCGGAGTCTTGTTGTTCTGTACTTAATGGATTACGGAATTCAATAAATGGCTGGGGTGGCATATATGGTATTGCATTGTCATTAGATTGATCATGAATCCTGAGACAGAAAACAATAGTTGCAAAATAAGCGCCTAATGTGAAGACTTCAATTGCATTGTGTATTCTCCAGGATAAAGTGGTCACTTCACCTAGAATGGAATCATTTATTTCAATAGGAACTGTTTAGCTGGAAATTATTTCTAATCTTAATTATAAATCAATATAGAGTGAGTGCTAGGTATTCATTTACCTGTATTTCGGTAGTCAAGCTGTGTTAAGATATCTGCGAAGCGGATCGCACTGACCATCAGTAAAGTGATGCAATGTAATGAGTTAGCATGTAGGCTATGACTGATCATGATCTGCATAAGAAATGAATTGGAAAATGGTTGCTTCTCCACTTTTAAATTATTGGTTTTCTTAGCAGACTTGTCAGGATTTTATTTGGTTTTCTTTCTGGTAAAATTCATTAATGTACTGGTGATCACTTTTACCTGACTCTTTTTCCTGTTGTATATTAAAACTACTAGAACCAAGGAAAGACACCTGATAAAGAGGAAAAATCAGAAGAGTAACTGTAAGTGATATATGGTAAAGTGATGTGAGTAAAACAATTGACGGATGTCTTGATGAATTCCATGTAAGTTCGTACAAAGTTGTTGCAAATACAACTGCTCCACCAATGAGTAGCATTAAGCCAATTATCTGTAATAAATAATAGGTACCAAATTAAGATATCAGATAAGTACGAATATCAAGAACATAAAGTGGTATTTGTGTACTGGAAGTTATTTCAAGAGGTAAGTATTGAAGTGGCGCTAGGTTTTAAAGAATATGCTTGTCAAGTTATGGACCAGCACATTTAATTAGTATTCTGGTATTTATTCACTTATTTATTGGTGATGTTCGTGTTTGTTGTGGACATATCAGAACACTGATATCTGAACTGAAAAGCGACATACCTCTATCGACTTCTCTAGTTTAACAGTTGTGGGACTTTTGCTACTATGATTGGAGGTAGCATGGCATGGGCTTATTTGCATAATTTTCAAGATAATATTAACCATAGTACAGCATGCGATAAAAACAAACAAATATAAAAGTGCTTCAAGGAAATGTGATATAGCGCCTGATACAGTTAAGTAATTGGTGCACCAAGCTGAGCTACGATAAAATATTTCGCATATTTCATTAGCGTAATACCCATTCCATGATAAGTAGAGATACGATATTAGAAGGAATGTCGTTGACTGAATGCAGAACAGTAATGTACATAATCTGTAAATATCTAAATATCTTGATTGGATTGGTGGATAGAATTGAAAGTTTGGAAGTGTTGATAATTTTGTGATTAGTTTTTCTAAGCAGGAAATTTGTACATAAAAGAAATAGTAGTGTTATTTTGTGTCACATTCACATAATGTAATATAGAAAATATGATAAGTGTCAAGTTGGCTTTTTTTTAAATAACTAATAAAAACTATTTTTATAAGAAGATCATTTAAATATGATTCAAAAGCTTACAGTGAAGGAAAAACTAAAAAGTTGATTTCTTTCGTAGATGCAAGAAATAATAATACTGCAGAAAATGCAGTTAAGAAAGGCGTCTTTTGCTGATTCCCATGAAATATTTTGTAAAATGCTTCCAAACGGATTGATAATATATCAAATGCAAAGATTGTTATTGTAGTAATACCAGCTGTTATACCTAAAATAATATGAAAAAAAAAAACAGTGTCTTTGTTAGTGTTGGAAAATGCGTTGCGTTTAATTTCATGCATTTAAAAATCTCAGAATTCTTACCAATCACACTAAGACTATTAAAAATGATTGCTATAAAGGTAGGAAAAAGAATTCAGGATAATATGAAAAAGAAATCAGGAAACAGAAAAAGAATTCAGGAAACAGATGAATTAAGCATTTACATTATGCATTAATCATGGGTATCGTCAGCAGCAGAAGTATCATTTTAACAGAAACTGATTATTTTTTGGAACAATCATGATTCATTTTAATTTATGAATACAAGTGGATTTATGATCTGTGAAGTTTTGGTTGTGTCTGAAGAATTAGCTTCTTACGTGATAATTTATAAGGTTAGTTACAATTTTTAGTAAATGTGATGCGTAAAAAATTCACCTGAAATGAAAAGGAATCTCTTAAATTGGGGCGAGAAATTCATTTGTAAGGGCTTTCTGAATGAACTGATTGTTGTTAAAGTTAAAACTGATAGCAGCAAGATTTGAATAATGCCAGCGCATAAATTGATTAGTGATAACCAATCAGGTGTCCATTTTACAAAAGCAACTTTGGCAATCTGTAAAAAATTTTTTTTCAAACAAATGACTTTTGAGATAAGCAAAAATTTTATTTGTCGTCTATAATATTAAAATATAGAAGATTGATTAAAAATTTACCACAGCACTTGTAAACCATCGGTAATCAATCCATAAGTAAGTAATAGTTGGGTAAATGCTGAGTGAAGAAAAGCATAAAGTTATTATTCTTGTTAGGGAAATTGCTGGAACTCGTAGTATGCAAAAAATACCTACAATAAAATTAAATTTTTAACTTCTGTTAATTGATTTAGTTAGAAAAAGTTTGTACCATTTATTTATAATTTTTTATTATTAATTTGATTAAAATATGAGGCTGAAATAATGACTTATGATTTTTCAATATTAAGAAAAAAAAATTAAATTAAAAAATAAACCGATGGCAGTATTAAGCGCAATCCATAAAGGCTCATCAATGGTATAATGTATAAAAGTATAGCGTATAATATTACCAACAGTGCGTAAAAAATACAGTTCAAAAATCCATGCAAATAGTTTACATGTTGATGTTGCGATAAGTGCGCAACCGATTACAGATATTAGTACTGAACGTCGTTCTATTTGGGCATCCAAAAAATTACGATGACATACGAGCATAATTTGAATTAAAAATGCTACTGATATCACGCTTAAAATTAAATCTATCAAGCTATAGCTAAGCATGCCATAAACCTGAAATTACAATATATTATGATTCAAAAAATTATATAAGTATGTACTTGCAGTAGTAAATTTCATTTTTCAAAATAGAAGAAAGTGATCTAGTCAAGTCATAGTTTTGCATGATTTTTTTTTGCTAATTCAATAGCTCTTATTTTCTGTACATACTAAGTCTAATATAGACCGTAGTACAGCATTACGATTACAGTTTTACGTTGATAATACTTATAATATCCCATAAAGTTTCATATTTCAATATCATTACAATGACGAATTAAATCTCTATGCTCACAATATTGTACTTTAAGCATAAATAATTATAAAAAAATAATTGTAAAAAAAAAATTTCACTTTATACGACTTTGCATTTGTAAAATTCTCAACTGATAAATACCAAGAGTATTGCTATTGCAACTTAATACGATCTTATTACAAATATTCTGTTGACAATACTTAAAGTATAAAATTGAATTCAATAATTTAAGTAATATTTTGGTAACAAATATTTTTTAATAATAAAAGTAATAAAATCAATTGATTTTTTGCAACTTTTTCATACAATTTTTTGACATTTTTAGAAAAAATAAGATGATAATAAGTAGCAGCAATACCTGTATTTTAGTTAAAAAAGCATTATTCGTTAATGTACTAAAATCTTCAAAGATAGTAATTAAATTGAGAGTATCAGCGATTACAGCTGCTGAACAAATCGCCAGTGCAAATATATTCACAATAGTAGCCAAAATAAATGAAGTGGAAAGAAAAGCAAAAGATGGACAAATACTAGAAGCAATTCCTGCGAATAACGTTATTATTGTAATCCAGTGAGTATTGACGTAATTTTCAGAATGATACGACTTTTCTGCTTGAATACAGCCAGCAATAAAAGCATTTAATACATTGGCTATACCAATTATTATTAGCATTTTTGAAATGCGATAAGTATTTTCCATTATATATCAGTAATTGGTATACAGCTTAATATTAGTAATTTACAAGTAGTAATAGTTCATATCTTCATGATATTAGCAGCACATTGAAAAATAATTACAGTATAATAATGACAAGTTTTTGCATAAGTCTTCCCTGACTAAATTCGTACTGAACGTAATAAAATAGAATTGAATAGAAGTGATTTGAATTGAATTGAGTCAAACTAAAAGCAGTAATTTATACAATAACAACAATCATATTTTAAATAGTACTTGAAATATAATTTTTTTATCCAAAATATTAAACCATCAAAACAATATTCTGAAAAATTGACAGAAATTTTTGGAGTACGATAAAATTAGTAGGAAATAATTAAATAGATTACTAACTCATAGTGGTTAGATGCTAATTATAAATACAAAATACTACTCTAAGAAATCATTAAATTTTAATAACATGTTTTCATAAAATGTAAAGGAACCAGATCAAGATAAAATAAATTAATCAATGAATAAATATCAATTGAAATTATTTCCATCCAGTCACTATTACCATATATTCATTCATTCATTCATTCTTTCATTCCACGAAATTTCTTTGCTCTCGTCACCTATAAAATTACCTGTTTCTGTTACATTGTGTGATCGTCTTTTTTCATTTTCTATCCACCATACCTTTGCGTGTGTATTTTAAAGTACTAATAATAATGTTTTGTTATTGAGCAGTACTAAATCCCATTAATATTATATAATTCAATCAATATTTGCATGGAAACCATACAATTTTATTTCTTTCCATTTTTCGATACAAAAATATACTCTCAATATTATTTATACTGCGAGTCTTACTGTATTAATTTGATGCTATCAAAGAAAAGAAAGCACTCATAATGTCATACTTTACTAATTACTGCTTTCAAATCATTCATAAACTAAATATTTCCATCATGAATTTTAACAAGTCATGTTTGGCTTTTGTAGAGCTAAATGTATGACATAAAATAAATTCGAAAAAAGCACATAACATATATGACACTGATTGTAATGGCAATTTACGACTTATACTTCACAAAACATTGCCTGTAACTACAGAATATCTTATTATTTCACTGTTCTGTTCTGGAATGCAACTACTACTTTACTCGCAACTTTTCCGTAGCTTGCTTTCGCAGTATACAAAAATTACTGAACTGACTTAAAACAAATAAGTACACCACTCCTTCAATTTATCAAGCATATGGTAGTAACTATTTCATCTACAAATAATCGAGCCATTAAAATCAACAATTCATGTGTGATTACAGTTTATGTTTCAATCACTTTATTTGCGAAACACATATATCCGATTAACAAGGAATTTCCAGCCACAAAGTTATGTATGCATACGCATTCATAACCTCAATCTATTAACTCAAAAAAAACCAGTAAAAGTAAAATTAATTACAATCGACATGAATGATTTACCTAACACCCGTTTACTGCTTCCAAAATATAGACCATTATAACAGAAACACACGCAAAGACTTTTGTAAAAATTAAAATTTTCAATAGTTTTCCTGAAACAAAATCAAGAAATTAACAAAAATTCTTATAAGCAAAAATACATTTTGTATTCATAGTAACATAAGTCATCGAATTTTTTTAGAATGGATATCTTTAAAAAGAAGCTATATACATTTTTCGAATGCATTATCAGTAAATTGAGAATTTAAAAACCACAAGTTGCAAGACTGTGCAAAAAAAAGAACAAAACAAAACAAAACAAGAACAAAATTATAAACTTTCATTGAATATGCACAGTTGCAGCATAATTTTGAAAATCCGGAATGATCATTCAAATGTAGACTTATAATATTATAATCAATCAGTAGGGAGAAGTAATAAACATGTATTTGGAAAGAATATATATTGCTGCAGTGGCAGTACCCGCAACTAACCACGCTCGAAGAGATGTTTTTGGAAGCAGAGGTTTTCGCATACGATGGATATTTACAAAACGTCGGTAATCTGCCATCAACGGACCCCGTAATATTGTAGGAGGATACATCCTTAAATAAATTTCAGACAATGAAATAACAAATCCCCGTGAAAAGGCATATAGTTTAGAAAATAGCAACATATCCAAAAAAAATAACCGAAATAAATCTTGTGCATCATTGATTAATGCTTGAAGAGGAATATCCTTTGGCATATCATTTAATAAATGATGTATCGAAGCCATATCCTGTGAACAGCTTAAAACTGCATTACTCCGCCACAAAACCACAGCTGAGGTAAGGAATATAGGACTAAGAGCATGTGTTGCAAAGAAAAAGTCAAAACAAAGAACAATCTGAAAATTAAAAGACAAATTCGTTGTAATAAACTGGCAAAAAGTGACAGTAACTCTTGCTAAGTTTCATGCAAAGGTGCTATTAAATTTTGAAAATTAATACTTGATTGTGCTCGATAAAAACAAAAATTACATAACTACTTCAATAAAATCAAAACCGACGGTAGAAGTCATACAATAAACATGTTTTTGTAATGCTAAAATACAACACTATCTGAAAGCTCAAAATTTATCACGAACAAACTTGGTGTAAATGATGTAAGGCATGTGAGAACCATGTTAATGGCCAGCTCAAAGCAAATAATGAACCCACTTCCACTGTCCGAATAACTTTTTCTAATTCTTTATCAACTTTCCAAAATAATACATGCATCAAATCAAGATCTCTTAACACCGTGTCTTCCAACTTTTTTCGAAGGTAACTGTAATTGATGAACATTAAATGTGTGCTTGAAAATTTTTTTCAATTCTACGATAGCATTTAATCTTTAACTTTTTTCATCAATTCTCAATTTTTTTTCGTTTTGAACATATTTCTGTACAGAAGAAAAATAAAACAATAAAATTCCAAATCTAAGGTGTTTCCTGTATTAGTAAAGCCTTATAATTAGTAATAAACACAAACTATTCAATTGCAATCATGTTATAATTGACTTAATGACGTAATTTGGGAATCGATGAAAATCAATCATTTCTAAGAAAAAAACCTCCTGAAAATTCCATTATGAGCTAAGAGTGTGCCAACATGTTCTGCTTTTTCAGCACCAAGCACTAGTAACAAGGTTAAACACACATCATGAAAACCTGAAAACTTATTTTTGTGTATGTAAAGTAAATTTCGAAGGCTAGCAAATAAATATTTGAAAAATATTTAGCGGAAACAGAGCCGATAATTTACAGAATTAAAAGAACTCTTGTGCAATGACAAAGATCACCTTGGTAATAATGAAATCGAGGAGACTGCCACAAAATTTTAACAATCAAAGGAGTTAAATCTTTTTGTAAACTACAACGTTGTTCAGTTGACATGTCAGGTGGAAACCGCGCAAGCGTACGATTGACATCCATTTCCACTTGTCTCCATTCCTTGTGACTTTGCAAATCATTCAGTGACGGACAGGACAACTGGAATACCCTAATACAGCTTTGTTAGAGCAATTAATACTATGGAAAACTAATTGAAAGCCTTCAACACTAGACTGCTACCAAGACAACTCAAGCATCCTATCCTTTTTGGAAACTAACTAAAAACCAGATTTATTACTAGTTCTTCCAACACATATCCAACTAAGATAGACCCATAATTTTGATTTTTTTAACTGCATGTGGAATGACAGGTCACATCACTGAAATGCATGTTCAGAACCTGTGATTGGCTATTTCAAATGATCTCCGATTAGTTAAACACTTCAATTCACACTGTGCAACGAATTACTGCAACTTGGTAGAAGAAACTGCAAACATGCAAAAACTTGCATCCGTGACAAGTTCAACTGACGAGCCACGATCTTCATCACAAGCAAAATTCGAGTGAGCAGACTCAAATTCAGAATCTGATATTGTTGATGATGTATCATGATCATTAAACGAGTCTCGCACCAATGAAGACGCCAGAACTGGCCATATAACAGCCCGAATATCATCCAAAACTAAACCTAGAATACATTAATTACAATTTATAAGATAACATGCCATCATGGATGGTCATAAGCGTCTCCATGCTAATCATTAAGTATAAAACGTATAAACAATGCATCTTAGCTAGATAGAAACGACACAACCTTATCATGAATTAAAATATATTCGATGAACAATGAGAGATCGCAAATTAATGCAAATATTTTTCGAATTAATTCGTTTTCCTATTTTCATTCTCAAGTGATGTTTTAAATTTTGAAAAATCGACCGAAACAAAAATATACCACCAGTGGATGTTGCGAACTGCCTTAGCTGACCTACATGCAAATGCAAAGAATCACGATTATCATCGATGAACACACGCATTCGATTGCATTTAACTTGTAATGTTCGACTAACTGCATTTCTCAGCACGCTTGTATCACTTCCATTCAACTGAAATCGCATCAACTTAGATATACGTAAAATATATATAAAATATCAAAAACGTAAAAATAAGATCTCAAAAATCATAACACGATCAAGAATATTTATTTAAAGAATTACATGAAATATTTGAGAATTTAAAGAGCGTCAAATTATGACTTAGATTATATTCGTTCATTACACATTTTGAACGATAATCAGCAAGTCGTAACATCTTACGAGATAAAGCAAGCGTAATAAATTACAAAACATTTCATACTTTTTCGTCAAGCTTAAAAGCTGCATGATTGGCAGTATGTGAAGGCATTTTGCTTGTAGTACAGAATTTATTATAGCCAGAAAATAACTTTAATCTTTACCGTTCATACAGTTCACACCATATTCAACCACTGATCCTTGATGAAAATACAGAATAATCCAGAATAACAGATCATGAAATGCGATCCAGTGATTCTTTCAATGATAACAAATTCTGTAGATTCTGAAACGCAATAAATAATATTTACACAGAAATGCAGTACAGTACAAAAAACGTGCACAGATAACAATGAATTATGCATTACTAATGTAATTTCAATTTTGTTTCTGTAGAAAAGCAGCTTGAAATTTTTTTAATTTTGTCATTGGGCTTTTCTATTATTCGTTGTTTACCAGTATTTCACTTTATTAAATCATGATAAACATGAAATAGTCTTTACTAAGTAAATAGGATTTATGCTGACTAAATATTATTTTTGCTTATTTTTCAATTTAATTATGGATTCATTTGAAAGGGGAATTATATCAAATGTTGAAAACATGCTAGTATAAATATATATACTGATTAGCTGATAAAATATTGTGGTTAAAATGATTTGTGTCATGTAAATGAATGTGCGAAATATTATTCAAGTTATAAGTGATATTTGATTGTATGAAAGGTGAGAAGTTAACTAAAATGTTAATGAGAAATGAAAAAAATAGCTATCAATTCATTGCTTACCTTAATTTTGGATGGTCAGGATGAGTATTGCAGTGTTATCGATGAAATTTGATTATGATTAATTCTTGTAGAAGTTGCAAAGGTATTAGATGGGTTACGATTTTAATTTTAATTTCAATTTCAATTTCAATTACTTTTCACTTTTATTGACTTTTTATATATGATTAACAGTTACCATATTTTTATATTCATTATAATTTTGATATTGCTGCTAATATATTTATTAATTTTGGATTTAATGTGCTGCTACGTTCTGGAAGATGATGTTATATTAGTAATTTATTCAAACGTAGTTATTTATCTGATAGAAACCGCAATATTCAGTACCAAAAATGAACTGAATAATGTGATTGAGCTAATAAGTCTTGTATTCAAATAACAGAGACGAATAATTTGATTTGCAGAGATTTTCAGTGGTTAATTTTAATGTAAGGAAAGAAGACGAGTATTATGACAGTATTTGAAATGAATATAAGTCTGTTTCCATATTTTACATAAGTTTATTTGCATATTCAAATAATCTTCGAAAGCATACTATTTATACTTTACTTTTTATTGCATTAAAAAATTTAGATGTTTACTAAATAAAATTTTCCGTTAGTAGTAAGTGCTTTGCTTTAGTTGATCTGATTGTTTGTTAAAATGAGTGTTGTTGTTATTATTTAATGAAAAATTTTTTATAATTTTAATAATGCCGTCAAAAATCACTTTTAACACGTAATTTTTTCTTTTATCTCATTTCAAATTTTATTGATGAAATAATATTTATAATAAGCATAGTTTGTTTTTCATGTCATTAAACCAATTTTTAACTAGCATCTTTGATAATTTTTGAAAATATTAAAAAAGTTTTGTTGTAAAAAATCTGAATTGTAATTTATTTAAGATTCTTAGGCTGCTTTTAGCTAGAACTAATGTGATAAATTGTGAGATATATGATAAGGAATGTATGGTAACAATGAAAGCTTATGTTAATTGCAATATTGCTCTGAGAAAATTCTGCAATCCAGAGGTGTTAGTTATGTTTCAATGCATAACTTTTGGCATTTTATCAAATAAAATGTGAAACTAGCTTTTAGTTTGAAACTGATAAATTATAAATGAACAATATGATTATAAAAATTTATTTGCTGATAAGAACGGTTGCTATTTCCTAACAAATTCTTATCATTTTTAAATGTCACTAAAAAGATAGGCATTTGCATTTCAGTTATTTAGCTACTTTGTTTATATTTCAATGGCTGCTAAATTCCTCTTTCGACAGGTAAGTTTTCAAACTGTTTTTAACTAAATTAAGGTAAAGAATTTGAAGATATCTAAGAAAAGAATGCTTTTTAATTTAGAAAATTTGTCAAAAATTTTCATGTGTAATCGAAATATAAAGATTTTTTTCGAGAAAATATGCAATTTTTTATAAGACGATTGACCCATTCAGCTTGCAAATTTGAACTTAATTTTATCTGTTCAGCTTTTTGAACCAGTGTCATGCACGTATACATATTTATTAGGATGCCCTCTAAGTGGAAAAGCAGTAATAATTGATCCGGTGCTGGATACCGTAGAAAGAGATGCAAAGGTAATCACATAATATCAATGCTGCTTTTCATGTAGTAATTTTTGTTTCTGAATTGAAAACATTAAATTTTTCTAAAAAAAAAAAATATTTCTGAAGGGAAAAATATATAAATAGTTGTGAAGAGATTTGCTTAATGAAAGATAATAAACGGTTTTCAGCTTATTAAAGAACTCGACCTAGATCCAGTTTATGGCCTTAATACACATGTTCATGCTGATCATGTCACTGGTACTGGCGAATTAAAGCGTATTTTTCCACGTATGCAATCTGTACTTTCAAAACATGGTGGTGCCTGCGCAGATTTGCTGGTTGATGATCACCAAATATTGACATTTGGACATCAAACTCTAGGAGTTCGCACAACTCCAGGACATACTAATGGTAATTATGCATCAGTTTTGTATTATTTACACATATTTGAGCTTCAGGTTTGCCAGATTCATAATATTAACAAAAAATTATATGGCATCTATCAATGTTTTCAATAAAGCAAGTTTCTTGATTTTTCTAAAATTATAAAAATGTTTTTTCTTTTACTTTTCTTTCACTATAAAGCTTTGTGTTACAGAATTAAGAATCAAATACATTTAGTGCTCTCTTACCTATAATTAAGTAAACTCAATCATGAGGTGTGAAAAAATAGCAGCGTCTAAATCATTAACTTTTTATGTATAACATTGTGTTGTAATATTTGTGGCTTCTAAACTTTTGGAAATTCCTTCAGCTTTTATTGGACGGATGAAAAATATTTTGTAGCAGTGAAGTACTGGCAGATGGTTTCCTTTTATTAAGTTAACTTTTATTTACTGAAAGAAATCTTTCAAGGTAAGTATTCAACAATATGTGTTGTTCGGAGAGTGAGATCTGACTTTAACCTATTAGATCATTTGACTGTAAAACTTTCAAAATCATATCTTATGTTTTCTCTTCTTGTACTTTTTGAACTTAATTTTAAGGTTGTGTCACATATGTATCGCACGATTATAGAATGGCTTTCACAGGGGATGCACTTTTGGTACGTGGTTGTGGACGCACTGATTTTCAGGAAGGTATGGTTTTTATCCATTTTTATACAATTGATAAATTTTATAATAAATTTAAAAGTTATACTGAATTGAAGACTTAGCACTTTTTGTTAATATTTTTTTGCTGATTAAAAGTGAGAAATAAGATGAATAATAACTGAGATATTAGAAAAAACAAATCCATTCTTTGACTGAATTGTATTTAGAATTTTGTTTTCATCTTGTGAATTTTTGCCTCCTAATTCTTAGTATGAAAACAAAAAATATCTTTTAAATATTTCACTTGGGTCAAATGTTTATATCATTTGTTGAATATTTACGGTTTTCTGAATAAATTAATAATAGAACTTGCTGAAGTTAAATAGTGATTTGATAATTGGAGCGTATTATATTCAGCTGAAAGGGAGAATTTGTTGCTGGAAGTACAGAATTTTGTGAGTAAAGCCAAAGTTGAGTTATTAACTTAGAAATACTGCGTAAAAACAAGTTTTTTCAAAGTAGGGTTCGTCACTTCTGGCGGGTTTTTTATTCGTTGGTTTTCTGTTCTTCTTCCGTTTTTTTATTTTGAAAATATTATGTCTTTTTAATTTGTCTTTATTGTTTATCATGAAAACTGTAGTGTTTGATACGATAATATAGTTGTGACTTTTAGGTAATCCAGAAATCTTGTATAAATCTGTACACGAAAAAATTTTCAGTTTACCCGACGATTTTTTGCTTTTTCCAGCTCACGATTATAAGGTTTTTTTTTTTTCAAACTTCCAAGTGTGATCTAAAAGTTTGTAGGGTTATCCTCAGAATTAAAATTAGAAAGCTAATACAGTTTATAATATTTGCTCACCTTCTGTAATTGAAATTTCAGATTGTGATCAGCTTTTTCTAATTGCTGCTACAAATTAGCATTGAATTTCGAATTCTAAGTTTTTGTTTTAAGCAGAAAATTTTTAAACATGAAAAAGCATGTAGAAACTACATGAAATTTAAAAGCAATGATTTTTAGGGCTTCTCAGTAACAACAGTTGGTGAGGAGAAGAAGTATAATCCACGATTAACGAAAATATTGAATGACTTTATCATCATCATGAACAATCTTGAACTTGCGAAGCCAAAACAGATTGGTTCGTTTTTTCTTGTTCTTTTTATATGTAGTAAATGTATATTTTATCTCTTATCGTTTTGACGAATGTATAATAATGATAATAGTCAAAAACTTTTTGTATTTTAATCTCACCTCAGCCTATTTTATTATAATTCATTATCAAATAAATTTGCAGATAAATCTTTGCCAGCAAATAAAGTATGCGGTCTCTTCGAATTGATGGATGATAAAGTGTTAGAAAAAATAAAGCATAAAAGGGATTAAAAGTATTTCTCTCCTTATGATAGAGCGTCTTGGATGAAGATTATAGAAATGGTGTCTTTGTTCGGAATTTATTCAAACATTTATTTTCTATGAATTTACTAATTTTTTGCTTATTTATATTTACTATTTTTTGCTTATTTATCAAGAAAACTTCAATGAAAGTTTGAAGACGAATATTTTTACAGAATGGTGTCTAGCAAGATGTTATGTGTATGGTAATTCATTATTGGATTTATGATTGAATTTGTTTTCATGGTATTTGTGTCATATACGTTTATTAATGTATTAGTGTACAAAATTATAGTCATCTATGTCAGTAATTTCAATAAAACTTACGTTTGATTCGAAGCCATTTACAATCACGAAGATTAAAATTGCAATGAATATAAAGTTATTCGCCTTAGTTCTTGAATATATATTTCATTCTGAAGTATTTTTATCAATAAATGTGTATCTCAGGTGCTTTAATTTGGAGTTTTTGTTTTTCACATGAGCTCAGTTTTTAGAGGATTAAAAAATTATTAACAGTTATGTATTTTAAGTACTTATTCTGAGATTGTTTTCTGCTTTTTATTATCGACATTCTAAATTCAAAACTTTGCATTTTTCAATATAATATTGTGACTTTTTCGCTAAAACGCCAAAAGTAAGGTTCTGTAATTGCCACTGAGTTGTGACAAGATTGAATGATTTTTGCGATACAAAGTATAGATTCATGTCAATAAAGATAACGTTTGTGTAGACCATTTAATTGGGCAATATGTAAAGTTATTTTTCTCTTTTGTTGATGTAAATATTCTCGATCAAGAATGGTTTCTTTAGTGATGAGCGCCACATTTTGTTCACAAAAGTGCTTGCAGTATTTAAAAAAGTGAAGTATGGGCGCATTTCAGTTTCAGTTGGCAGAAATTGTTGCATTTTTATTTTTAGAATTAGTAGATGTTTTGTTTTTCAACTTCAGAAAGGAATGGAAAAAGTGAAGCAAGAGACGGTGGATTCAACTTACGAACTGGGAACTACTAGTTTGTTGCCAGGAGAAAATTCCGGTGACATGATTGAATTGTTACCTTTCGAGCGAAATCTCATGCTTGATACTTATGCTGATGATGTGCTTTTCATCGTTGCTAGGTTTGTCTCTGCTTGTTAAAGTCCAGATTTTATTTTGTTTCGAAATATATATATCGTTGCTCATGTGTTCATTCTTAATTTGGTTCTATTCATTTTATTGTTACTAAGAGAAAATGTTGGTAAATAGGCTGATATTTTGTTACGCTTGTCTAACATACTTTTGTTTTTAGTGGTTTGGGTTTGGAACGTCTGATTCTTCATCATCTGCATTTGTACTCCGATCCGCAATTACTGGTTTTTGTAATCAATACTACTCCTCAGGATGATGTAAGTTGCGTTGCAGAATTTTGTAAAGTTATAGTTTTTGATATGTTAAACTTCTGCTAAAGAAGAGATTTTTAGAAATTAATTCAAATATAATAAATCTATTTATAACTTCTGAATTCTCCATGCTTTTTGTTATTTTTGTAATTAGTGTGCAAAAACAGTGTCTAATATTGTCAGGTTATAAAAAATGATGTTTACAATTTGTTTTGATTCATTATGTTGTATGATTAAAAAATCTGGAATTTCAGGAGTATTTTTTGTGTCATCTTCGAAACAGCAAAATCAAATGTCCTCCAAAAATTATTACTGCAGATTGTTCCACAAAAGACAGGTTTTCTATCTCTCTAATTGAAGAAAAACATTTTTGAAATATAATCCGTTAAAAAGTGTAAGTAATAGAATTATTGAATAACTATGAAAGCTTTCAGAGAATCATTGTATATGGAAGGAGGAATACAGTTCATAACATCACGAATATTAATGGTGGATTTATTGCAAGAACGCGTCCCCGTGAAGAATGTTGCTGGGATTATTGTTCATCGTGCACATCAGTATGTTCTTTATTTTGGTGCTTCCAGCTAATGAAATGAATTGTCGTTATTATGGACTATTTTTTCAGACTGCTAAATGGTTTTCAAGAGTCATTCATTCTTCGTTTGTATCGAGAGAAGAAAGAAAATGGCTTCATTAAAGCATTCAGGTGTGTAAGTGCGTGAAATTTTTTGTTACAACAGAAAACTTGTGAAGGAATGATATTGGGTATAATTTGCTTTTTCAGTGATAATCCAGGAGCAGTGATTGGTTTGGGTGTTCTGCAGCGATTGCTTAACAGATTATATGTTCGAAGAATTAGACTTTTGCCTAGATTTGATGTAGATGTCAAGCATTCATTAGATACCTGTTCTGTAAGCGTTTTCAATGTATTAACATCACAATCGTAATTTTTAAGAATAGCACTTTGGTTTTGGCTGATTTCATAAGAAAATGCAGCGAAGGAATTCTCGTTTTTATACCATGCTTTATGTTTCGGTTTACCAGTTTCAGTGGTATAAATATTTCTTTCATGAAATACATCATTTTGTGTTTTTTTAAAATTCGATTGAGACGTAAAAAATTCTCAAATTTAATGTAGGAACATGCAAAATTCTGTTTCCAGCCTAAAATGGTGGAAATATCAATAAACATGCCACATCCCATGCGAAAAGTTCAATGTTTATTGGTAGATATAATACGTACTTGTGTTCGAGAATTGAAACAGTCTTCATCGTCTGACGTGAGCTTTGAAAGTGATTTCAAAAAGTTTATGAAGTTGATTCGAAAAATTTGTTTGTTAAATAGTGTTGTCTTTTTCAATACTTTCAACATTTGCAGATATCTTCAGAAGAAGAAGAAATGATCCAGCCCGTTCTTGATATTTACCCGTCTACTCTTGAAAGACAGCTAGCATCACAGCAATTCTCCATTTCTGAAAAGCAGCAGCGACTACTTGCAGATCTTAAGCAACTTAGAGGCCTTCTTTACAGAGTAAAAGTTGTATCATATAGGTTGATTTTCTGTCATTGAGTATCGCTATTTAGAAATAATACATATTGCTGTAATTAGTATTGATCATAAAAAAGTTATTATTGAAATAGTAGAAGCAATAATATTTCTTGGAACTCATATTGAAGTTGGATAGTTTCAGGCTGAAGAGTTAGATCCAATTACTCTTCACTGTTCCTTAAATGAAATCAAAAACGATAAGGATGTAGGTTGTGAGATAGATTCAGAAAATTTTTTTGTAAAATAAATTGTTTTTTCAAATCACTTTCGTTATACAGCATGTTTTTTTTCTTCACTTTCTCTCTTCAACAAATTTTTTTACAATTACCAACATTTGAATAACTATGATTATGAAGTATTAAAATAAAACTTACAGTTGCTTACAAATAACAGTGGCTGGATGTTCACTCAAACTTCTGCACGGCTGGTCGCGGAAGTAGATGGGTTATGTAAAATAAAATCTGATAGTGGACAAACCGTGCTTGGTGTGTAAGATCACGTTTTTTTGATATTCTCGAACTTTCATCATTTAAATACTTGTTTGGGTGTAACCATAATTGATCAATTCAATATTTTATGAATATCTCTGTGTTGTTTTGTTTTTCTAATATATACTCGTATATTATTTTGAAAAAATGCAATATCAAACTGTGTTAATGGATATTTTTTCATAGATTATTATTTCAAAATGGAATTAGATTATTCAGAAGGAACACTTGCCAAGTTAAAGTTTTGGATTACATTTTTTTAAATGCTAAGTTTCAGAACCTCCGAAATGGAAAGCGCTTCTTGATATTTTGAATGAAATAAAAAAAAATAACAATCAAAATGAGCTCAGCAATAAAAGTTAGTTGCTTTGCTTGAGAATGTAGTTTTTTTTTATTTCAAATGCACATATCTTAGATTTTTTGACCTATATTTTTTTCTATTTTATCCAGTGAAATTCAAAATTTGTCTAATCTTCTAGAACAAACGGTGTTATTAATCGGCGCAGGAAATGAAGTTTGTCTACAACTGCGTGATATTATTACTGATGGAGTAAAAAAATTTTTATGGGTTAAAAATCAACGATTAGGTGAGGAATTCATTAGCAGCACAGACGAACCGCAAGCTGAACCATCATGGGATCCTTCACAAGTGATTTTGTTTAACAAAAATGTTGAGGTCAGTAAACCTTTCAGTACCTTTTTTTTCTATTGTTCGAGAAAGAGATAATCACTTCCGGAGTTGGATTTGTAGGATGAAACTCGTGGGGAAACTTTGAGCAGTGTAAAAGTGCAGCAAAAAGAAATAGTCCGAAAAAATCGAAAACGACGTCGTTTATTTGATGAAATGAAAAAAAAAGAAAGCTCTAGCAAGCAGACGCGACTCATGCGTTTCGGCATCGTGCAGATCAAAAAATCTGTAGAGGTAGACTGTAGTGCAAAGCTTTTTAAGCGTCTCAATAGCTTACATCTTAATATATTTTCATTTTTGATCAGTAATTCGGTTTTTACTTTTCGTCATGCATATTTATCATTAAACTTTACAATACTTATTAATAGTTTTTCTTTGCAATGTTCTAGGCATACAAAATTCTAATTAATATATTTTTTCAACTGAAATTTTTACAAAGAGAATGAAAGTGTACACAACTTAAATTTTTACAAGGAAAGTGAAAGCGCTCATAACAACGATTCCAGTGTTGAAAACACGCATTCTGACCCTTCAAGAGACTCAGAAACTTGTATTTTGGAAAAGCAAGATCCTTTATTAATAATCGTTTCCAGTAATGATCGATATAATCTCATGAAACAACTGGAAATATTTGATCCACGAATTGTCATTCTTTATCATTCTGATTTGTTTTCTCTTCGTTTGCTTGAGGTTTAGTTTTATTGGAAATTTATAATTTTTGGAGTTTTTTCGTTTTTTTTAACAGATCGTCGATAATATATTGTTTTGAAATACCAGGATTTTATTTTCGATTTTTTGAAGTTAAAACCAGAAATAACTTCCATTATACTAAGTGAAGTTTATTATTTGTTTAGTTTTTTATTTACTGCAGATGTACAAAGCATGCTATTCCGATAAATCACTGACAATATATATTGTCATGTATGCTAATTCAAATGAAGAAGAGCGATATTTACTTTCGCTTAGGAAAGAGCAAATCGCTTTTGAAGAAATGGTTCGCGAGCATGGGGTATATTCAGTTTTTATGTCATTCTTTTAACTTTCAATTTCTGCTGTATATAATTCGTTTGCATATATTTATCTGTAATTTCTTTAGACATTGATGTTTGCTAGGGAATATGAAACTGAACGTGATGAACCTCGACAACTAAAACTTGCCAAGTCTACTAGAGATGCGGGTGGAAGAATCAGTGAGGAAGAAGAAGAAAATCCAAAAGTGTGCTTTTTTCAGTTCAGTCCGTATAATTTTGAAATATTAAATGTCTGAAGAAGACTGTCTTAAACGGTAGTGGGTGAATAGATGTTGATATCATGCAGTTTTCTAGGTAATAGTTGATATGAGAGAATTTAATAGTCAGCTACCAACTGTGCTTTACAAAAGAGGTATCGATCTCATACCAGCTACGATTGAGGTTGGAGATTACATTCTGTCTCCAAATATTGCTGTTGAACGGAAAGCTCTAGACGATCTTACTCAGTCGCTTCATAGTGGCCGGATCTTCAAACAAATTGAACAGGTTTTCAAATTTCTGAAAAAAAAAAGTTTCTTGATTTTTCTTAATGTTCAGTGAAGCTTATTTCATGTCATTAGATTAATGCATCTCATTCCATAACATTCAGTTCTAAATTTATTATAAATTCTTATAGATTTGTTGCAGATGCTCCGTCATTATAAATGTGTGGTTTTGCTTATTGAAGCAAATGTGAAGGTTGATTGCAGAAAAATAAATGGTGGTCCTTTTCAAGTAATTTTTTAGAGAGTGATTTCTAGCTTTTCTGTATGGAGTAACTTTTTAAATTAAAGTAGATATGGTGAAAAATACAACGTGTCTCAGTTAAATTAGTTGTACAGTGTTTTACTGGGAATATATAAGGCAAAAGTGTTCAGTGATGAACTGCAGGGAGAATTAAGTCGTCGTTGTCGTGAAACGCGATCTATTTTCACTATTTTGGTGAGGACTTATCCGAAAATGAACATTATTTGGACGTTAGATCCAGTACATTCCTCAGAGATGTTCGAAAAACTTAAGTTATCTATATTTTACCATTACATTTCATTCATCAGTTGTATGTTATCAAATTTTCATCTCATTTTTGTATTATTAAATTTCGTGATATAATGAATCATTTTTAGATATATCCTACCTCTATTTTAGCTTAATGAACCAAATCCAGATCTGACGCAAACGCTAGCTATTAAAAGTGATTTGGAAGAATCAACAAATACTTCTGATTCAACGTCAGGTTTGCTTTTTGCACCTTCAGTCAAAAATAAGTTATTTCGTCTGCAGTAATAAACCAAGCAATTATCAATCTATAAAAATCTCTTTACCACTTTAGTTGCATTATAATAAAGCAGCACCTATTTCTCTGATATTTGTAATCTGAAATAGCAACTTTTTATGTTTTATCTGCTAATTCAGGTGACAAAGTCATACAAAAGCGTGTGAATTCTGTCTTACATCGGCAACTGACACGCCTCCCTGGTATGTCTAGCGGTGAAGTCACACGTTTAATGAAATGTGAGAAAATTAAGTGCTTGCTGGATGTTGTCAATGCAAGTGTTAATAAACTAGAAGAAATTTTAACTAATACTGAACAAGCTTCTTCTTTGCATCATTTTTTCAGCACAGATTTTAAACTGAAAGCTTTATTATCTTAAAATCTGTCAGCCACTCTTTTTCTTAAAAGCATCATATTGAAGTCATAACTTTTAATATTTCGACTTAATTTCTGTCAAATATAGTATGGAGAAAATGAGACAGAAGTGAGGTGTTTAATGAACATGTAAGAAATTGGGAAGGAAAAGATCTGAGTATAAACATTTACGATCTCATTTCTTTCATTACATCTTTTTGAAAGAATGTTATGTCGATTAGTTGGACTGCTTTTTCATGCTTTAATTGTGCAGAGTCATTGCTTGAGATTTATAATTATCATTTTCATAAAAATCTTTTGTTCAGATTTTTTTGGTTCACGAGTGCTATCTGAGCTGTGTTTTGCAACTTTATTGCTGTTTTTCTTCCACATTTTTCGCAGTTCAATAAATGTTTTTTGAAAATTTTATACTCAAAAGACATGATCACTGAGTTTCTGTGTATTTTCCTTTCTGTTGCACGAATTATATCTTATATTCTTTATTTTAATGATCAAATTCTTATAAAATATCTTGTTCTAGTTTGCCAGTTAAAGTTTTATTCTTGCTTGAAATTCAGGATTTGAAGTTTTCTACCTTTCTGTGAGCTGCGTAAACTGTAATTTATATTGATATATAGGATGCAATTGATATTTTTGTACATGTATTTCTTATTGCATTTTTATTCATACATTCATGATTGATAATAAAGGTCATTTATTCACTGCAAACTTCCATTGAAAATAATTGTGCTTCATTAATATAGTATAAACAAGCAGATTATTTGAAAATACATTAATTTAAACAAATAGTTGTATTTTAAAGATGTAATCTTGTTTAATGTCAGTGATATTCATTTATATTGTTGTGGTAAAATAACAAGATGAAGTAGTAGTTCATTATTTATTCGCTAAATATGTTGTTTGTACGTAAATGGATAATTGCAGTCAAGTGTAAAAGATAGTATAGTTACTGATGTAATGATAAGATTGAGCTCTGCATAGTCAGCTTTGAAATGCGTATTACCATATAATTTTGAATACTTATTTCAGTAATAAATTTTTTTGTCGATTTTGACTGAAAAGCATTTTAAAAATACGACTGAAGTATACAAATGTTTGTTTATACATTGCGTATTGCCAATGGATTGTAGCTGTGTAAGTACATTTGGTTATTAATTTTGATCTAAAAACTCGTAATCAGAGGTTTTAGATCAAAATTAATCTTATTATTCTATTTTTGACCTCATTTTTTGTCTTATTTATCATCGATTACAGTGTAGTTGATATTGTTTGTATATATTAGAGTTATTTTGTTGATTAGTTAGAGAATTTACTAGACAAGTTTAATGTTCCATAGTTAGCTTGCAACTACACTGTAATCGATGTGTAATTATCTCAGAATTTTGAAGAAAATAAATATATTTCTTATTAAAGTGAAGGCTACTATTATTTTCACATTAGAAATCATTGGTAATTAATTTAAGTATTACTTTTCATTAATAGCAAAAGTTCTAATGGAATCAAATTTGCACATACTTAAGTGCATTTTAATCATGTAATTGCTTTTTGCCTTCATTGCCCAAGAAAATCAGTTAGTACAGGTTTAAGTCGTGCTTACTTACTTCCTTGCATGCTCTCTTTGCTGTATATACGGTGATTATCTCTCAATGTTGTATAACAATTTATTTTAGCTTTTTAATATGTGGATTCGGGTTAAATTATTGCTCTATGAACGGTACGTCTAAGTTTCAAATGGTAGAAAAATTATGATTTTCTAAAATATATTTATAATTTCAAACGTTTATGATACGACCACTTCGAACATGAATAAATATGCAGAATAGATGATTTTTCTGGAAAATGTATAGAATTTTAGCACTTAAACATACTTATTTTTCGAGGTTGAGCGTTACGCAATGAACATGAATGATACGAAATAATATTCAATTTCCCATATGTTAAACAATTCATAACTTGATTCTTTTGCATCAAACTTCGTCTTTCTCTTCAGCAGCATTTATATTTTTGTACACCAAACATTAATAGTTCGTGAGCGTTGACACCACTGAATAATAAACTTGCTTAAATTCGAACAAAGATTGCTTGAATCAGCAAAAATAATGGAATGTACACACAAACAGATTTGCAGGATTACACTGTTAAACTATAACTTTTGATGTTTTTACTTATTAGACCATATTTCAGTTCTTTCTATGACATACACATTTTATATAATAAAGTGAAAGAATTGCTTCCGAAGCCTAGTAAAGATTTCATGTCGTTCGTGCAACATAACTTGGGCCCTCAAACTTCAATTTAACAGCAACTTAAGAGCAAATTTCTGTCTAAAATTCAAAGTCTAGCAGACGAACGGTCATCAAATTTGGGAAAAATTTACCAGTACTACTGAGAATGGATGCAAGTGAGATCCAAACAAGTTCATGAGAAATTCATAACCTGTTTTTACCTACTTCTGAAACTTTATGATCCTTTGTAGATTTCAAATTCCTAGGATATAAATTTTCATGCTTTAGTGATAATAACAGAAATTCTCATGGGAAACGCTGCTGGTACCTACAAGAAAAAAGCTGCAATTGGTTCTTTGATCGGTTTTAAATCCGAGAATCCATTTGAATGCCTATTTGTCAAAAAAGAACGTGTCTGCCTGCGAGAAACTTTTCAGGTCCACTATCAACCACTCTTTATGTCTCAAATTACTTTAAAGTGATAAATCTTTAGAAATCGGTATTGTATTATTAACTTCCGAAATTTTGAGTCTAATAAAATTCGAAGAGTATGCCTAACTAACAAATGCCATTAACAAATTAATCAATTCACTGCGAACAAAAATTGATTTAAATTTGTAAAACTCACTTACCTATAAAATTTTCATATTGTCTTAGGTGATATTACCATCATCAGCACACGATTTTTTCCTTTGCTATTTAGAAATTGGAAAACCCAAAGGAAATTGTTGGAGCTGTTTTTCTGAAGATCTTAAACGATATTGCACCGGAACTGAAAAAAGTTTATTTTCTTCAAACTTCATATATAAATGAGAGATTAATGAACACTTCCAAGTTTATAAACAAGTTTTACACTGTGAAATTTTGCGTTTGAGAAACACAAATCTGCTGCAGTTCGAATGAACCGTTTATAATCTCCATAGTACATGAACTACGTTAATTATCAGACCAAGCTTATTCTTAAATCATCCAGGTGTTCGGTGTGGAGCGATCGCCAAGAGCAGTTATGCTTAAAATGCCCAAACTCAGTGGACACGTTGCGTGGTTTACCGACTACCTTCAGCAGGTTATTGAATGACTCATATTTTCGTAATTCAAGCATGAAAATTTCCCGAAACAAATAAATGAACTTTATCTTTTAAAAAAAACACAAAAAAAAATGTTCCCGTACCACACTTACATATCACTGAATCTTTTTCATGAATGATTCCGCAGGTCAATTTTAAAGAAAATGCAACTTAGAGATTACAGCTAACAACCATGCTTGGTTATACGGAAAACTTACTTGGCGCTTGGCAACTAGTTCGCAGAACAGGTCGTACCCATCACCGACATTCATTCCTGAAAGCGAATCAAGATAGTGATATAAACTACTTCAAACTCGTAGGCAATGTATTCATCGATGAGCTCATCCCATACTTGAATGGTGAAAAAGTGCATCATCACTTGCCATTAACAGTACATTACAAGAATTTAAAACACAAAATATTAAATATATGACCATAGTAATCAAATTAAACTGAGCTCAAGTTTGCTCATCACAGTCTTCATGACCGAAACCATCTCCTTGACGAAAAATACCTGCGATGATAACTGAAAAAAAAACCTGTTTTTCTTTTCATTAATTTAATTGCAAACAGTGATGAGCTTTTAAACCAATTCCCGCTTTATAACAAAATACATATCACAGAGCTTTCAGGATGAATCCACTCAGGACACGAAGAAAGTGCGATTTGCAAGTCCCTATTCGACAGCAACAAAAAGTGATGTGTGGCAACGTTTCTTCAATGTTTTAGTGTCGGAAATGATGAGAAGTTTTGAGCAAGAGTGTCAGAAAAATGGTATTACAATTAAACCAAGCTATTAAACTACGAACCAATCGAAACTTGTGATAAAACAATTTTTTAGTATACTTTTATAAACTGTATCATAAATACGGTGTACCATAATACAGCGATTTCAGAAAATTTATCAACCTCGTGACACAGACATCATTTTATTACTGCTTACTTAATAATAATGTAAATTGAGCAGTGAATGACTATTAGTTCAGACATAAACTTTTGTCAAAAGCAAATCGTATGGGACATGAAATTTAAACTAAATTATAACCCAATATAAAACTTTCTATTGATCAAACAACTTGCATGGACTGACGACCAGAATGAGTCTGATTTGGTTTCGATAAAACCTAAAATGCAAGAATATGTAGAAATGCAGAATCAAAAAGATATATGGCGACTAGCGAATTACATATCACTTAACGAATATTTTTTGTCCCAAATATGCCACAGCAGGTCAATGTAGTAACGACAGTGAGATAAAAATATTTTTGATTTTTTTACACAAAAAAAATGTAAGCTAAATGGAAGATGAAAATTGAGAAAAGAAAACAATTTACCGACAGAAATGCTATTTTAGAGAAGTAATTAGTGAATTCATTGGTTGTTGCCCATCTGCATCGCAAATAGCCATATAAATTAGCTGCATTCATCGTTAGGCCAATTAATGCAACTATCATCCATTCCCACTTCAATGTTACGAAAGCAATACAAGCCAAAAGTGCCCATAAAGCTGGCGCTGCTGTTAATGCACTCCAGAAGATTTGCCGTTCCAAAGCATCAAAACGAGACATATCCTGAAAACTTCTTTGATATTTTTTTTCGTGGTTATAGTGAAAGTAATATGAAAACAGTTAATGAGTATGTCGTACTCATATATATATGGTTAGTCTTCCTTTCTACTTTATCGATTCTGATGACACTGAATCGTATTCCGACACTCTCACTGGACTTGCCTTGCGCTGACATTTGTTGTGCTGATTTCAGTTGCTTCATCCACGTGAAATCCATAGCGGTGATTGAATGAAAAGCTTTCTAGAGTCTTCTTGAGCACAATTGATTAAATATATGTCTCGACATATTCACGGTCCCAACTGTTGTCAATCTGTCTTAACTAATGATACAAATATTACTTCATGTCGCTTCTGATATGCGATCCGTACTAATCTTTTTAGGTGTTCTTACTCGCTATCAACTTGAAGAATTTCTCGTCCTATTTTCTTCTCTATTATAGTTTCTCCACTGTTTTTCAGCATAACTGCCCATCTGGATGTGATGCTCCTCAGATCCACGAAGGCATGTTAAGTCTTTCAATGTACTTTATCAGTTATTAGTGATTAACTGATCAAATACATTAAAAGACTTAATAAATTATATATATTTGCGGATTCACTTAATACATCTTATTGTTGCAGAAAATCAATTAAATATATAAATATTACTTTTGCTGATTCGTATCGCCAATGATTATTCCCTTCCGCATCTACAAAATTCCACCAGCGAAGACCAACAAGAAGTCGACCAGTAATATTTTTAACTGTCCAAAAATCCATTGATAATAAAATCAGCTGTAAATTTTTTAATTACTTCCGAACTGATGGATCTCGTGCATGAAAAACATTGATAAGACGAACAGAAATAAAAAATGAAATAAACGCTAGTTTAAACTTACAATCACTAGAAATTGGATGATAAATGAATCCGTGAAGAGATGCGCAAAAATGTAGAATAAAATGGCGGCTGTACGAAAAGCCACATGAGAAAAAATAATGGAAGGATGACTGAAATAAAAAAGTAGTACATTATAAATTGTCTTCACTTTCCGCATCAGTTTAACACATAGTACCTCTTGTGAAAGCTACTTAATCTTCTTATTCGAATTATAATAATGAGCATATAAGGTTGTAGAAATATCCTGTGCTTGATGGAATAAATTCCTACTACAAATACCGCCTTCCACTACCACTCACCTCTACCTCATGTAAATACGAAACTTGTACCTGAAAACTCTACGACCTGAAGGTCTAATAAGTCTCTTATCATCCGAAATATTTAATGACGAATTAAAGTTTGAAGCCATCTTGCTTTCCTGAAACATGTAAAATGTATACCAAACAAAACTTCACTCCAAATTTAATGAAACCACTTGTACACGAAAAAATTTATTAAGAAATCTCATTAAATAAATCCACAACCCACATTTCAATATAAATATTCATAATTAAGCAATAAATTACTCTTCCCCAGATATACTTTATAAATTGCTGGCTATAGAATCTACTACGTCATTCCCAAAAATATAAACATGTGTCCCCTTCAAAAATTTGTAAATGAACCGACGGCGACTTTGCTCTCACGTCACTATCACGAAAGACCAAACCGCAACTCAAAAACCCTCCCATTAAACACCTATGATATATGACACCACAATAATTCATTTTTGATCAGCGTGCACGAAACACAAAGTACTCCAATAATGTATTTGTTAAAATGTTTAGAGGTCACAAAGTTGTTTCTAAACATAAACTTACAGTAACAAAATATTTATCCTCGCATCGCCATTTTATACTATATATTACAAGAGAATCAATTCATACATTCTAAATATTGAAGAATGCACAGGACAAGACATGAGGATGACACGGCTCTGCAGATACGAAAAGTACAAGATAGATTAACACAAAAAACAAACAGAAAAATAAAAAATAGATCGGTGGAAAAAAACAAAACAGATTAGCGACTAAATCGCTTTATTCACAGGTTTCTTTTAAAACAATGTTACAAGCATCAACGACTTTTCCTTCAGCATGTGGATAAATACCCTGCACTATAAATTCACAAGTATTACTGGTTGGATTTCAAAATAAAATCGATAAAACGAAAATTCTAATCGCATCTGAATTTGTCTACTCCCGCATAAGTATGGCGATTTCATCATGTTCACAACGAAGTCTGAGGTGTTTTTCAACTAAAACATCCAATAGTTTAGCATACTCATCGGAGTCCATATATTTGTAATCCATGCAAAGTGCTTTAGACCAAGGACACTCAGCAAATGCTAGATAAAATACCTGTAAAAATATTTATTAGTAAAAACATAACTTATCGGAAAGCCTAAATAATGTCGTAATTTTCCCCCAGAAAAAAAATCGAGAATGAATTTTTTTTTGAATTCATGCAGACAGTGAATGAAACATCGTGACAAGAAGAATCAAAACCTCGCGAGAACGTTGAACGTTTCTCTGATCATTCTCGATTTGAAGCAGTAAACGCCAGAAAACATCAACAGTGTGCTTTACACGTTCACTAGCCCTTTTTAAAACCGTTCTCAATCGGTGTAAACCAGGTGAGCATATGTTGTCACTATTATCGAGTAGGATTCTATGTCGTAATAGCTCAAGGTACACAGAGCCAAATGCAAAATAATAATTCGTATTTTCGTCTATAATGAAGAAATATATAGGTATAGATAACTTAGTTTGCTTGACAATATTTTAAGAAAAAGTCAAAAATTCGCAGAATTTTTGACTTTAAAATATGACTTTTTTTTGACTTTTTTTTAAAATTCGTCAAAATTTTCCTCGTCACTCATAATTCAAATTGGAATTGTGAGTAACAAGGAAAAAATAATATTAAAAAAGAATATAAAGCACAATAAAACAAAAGACTTAAAAAGCAAAGCACATATACAAATAACTCAAAGTTTAATATGAAATGAGTCTTACCATCTGAGTTAGTTTCTAGAAATTTTTTAACAGGAAAGGAGAAGTTTCCTTTAGCAGTAGAGTCAATATACATTTTCAATATAGATACATCTGTCGGATTTCGTCGACAAGCCGTTATTAGCGCTTCAACTAATACGCGACGAGACGTACCGGGATTAAGTGTCACATGCAATTGCAACAGTTCCAGATACTTTTTCTGAAAAGCTGGTAGGATTTTGTTCCGAAGATGGGATAAACAAAATTATGATACAAATAAAAAATTTCATCCAGACAAATATTTTATGGCTGAACAAACTAAAAAAAATTTTTGCTTCAGTCGGCATAACATGAGCGATTTATACTTAGATGCAATGACATATTTTTATTCTTTATTCTGTCGAACTTTTTAAGACGTCTTCATTGCTTTCACTTCAAAAGATCATTCAAAAGTATTAGCTGTTGCGTCTTGCTAAGAAGCATGACACAAATATGTAAAAAAAAAAAAAACTAACTAAAAGGCGACGATGTTTACTGTGCCTCGTAACAGCTGACAATTCCATATAACATTTTCGCATGCTCCATACTCGTTTCTCGTTAATAACAAAGTAGTAAGAATAAAACAGCACAAGACATGATATGAGATCAATTGGGGAACCTTCCCAGGTATCATGCATTCCTTCTCTTCTCAAAAGATCGCGAAAAATAACATTGATTCTGTTTTGAATCGTATTAATGTCCTTCACCTTAAAAGACCACAATTACAGAAGTCAATGCTATGTTCAAAATCACTAATAAATTATTGCAATAGGCTGATGAAAAAAGACTAATGTACATTTTCTATGCTTTCTAACCTCATTCTGTACGCATTTCCCTTCACATAAAATAGTGCTGATGAGATCTCGTTTAACAAAATCGTCAGGCGCTGCACTTATGTACACAATAGCCATACGAAGCATAGGAACTAGACGAGACATTTCTTTCTCGCTCCACATATCATTGCTTACAAAAAATTTATTAACGCAAGTCCTTGCAATCTCGTCTTTTCCCAATTCCAACAACTGAATAATTTTTACACTGACCAATTTTTTTGAACCAAACAACAGCCAAATTATTATAAAAATTTTGTAGAGAAATAATTTTTAATTACGATAAAGGATTTCCTCACTTTTAAAGCCACTTTTTGTACCTTTAAATGCGCAACCACTGGATCTAAATTTCTAAGCTAATTAATGACGGTCCGAATTCAATTACCTAAACTAAACCAAATCATAATTATCTAATACACACACCTTTTCCGCTAGTGTTGCTACTAATGACAAGTTCCTAATATTATTATTCTTACAGCATAGAAGTTTAGCTTCTTCACGAAATTTTGCAGTTATTTTTTCCCTGCTCCCGTAGTTCCGACTAATGAGATTAAAAATTCTGGAAAGAAACAAAGTAGAGACAAGATTATGATTTACGAATATAATTTTGGAGAATTGAATTTCACTGAAAAGGAACAACAAGTTCAAGGACGTCCAGTCCATTAAAACTCTTTCCATCAAACTCTGTCAAAATTGAAAAAGTAGCACCACACTGAAAAAATAAAACTCCAGTAACTATATCACAAAAAATAGAAGCGCTTTTAGTTCCATATGCAAAGAACTGGGAACATACGTGAGAAGTTGTGACGACAACACCAAATCCCTTACTTGTCCTTCTACTTGAACAGAAACAAGATCAAAACATCTATTCAAAAACTTATCAATATCCTTCAAACCCACAGAAAAATCAGGAAATAAAGTGAATTCATGCATTATGTTTGTAGGAGAAAGTGAATCCTGAAAAAATGTAATGAAATTTCCAAAAATTGAAAAGACATCTTAACGCAGTTACTGAATCTACTCCTCACATGACACAAAAATGCATGGAAAGAAACTAACTCATCCTAATATCTGAAACTTAAGTACATAAATGAGTATTTAAAGAAATTTCAGTTTGAAGAGCGAATGTTGTATACGCTTAATGTTAACTACGATACATGAAATAAATTTTTCAGTGGATATGTTAAAGAGCAGATTTATTGAAAATACATATCCCAATACATGCAGCTGATATTAGTAGTCTAAATGCCATGAATGGAATCACAATCATGGTGTAGGTACCACATGATTAGATTTTAGGTCAAATTATTCTGCATACTTTACGTTAATAAAGTTAAATGATTTTCGACCCAAATTTGTTACGTACCCAGCCATATATTTTTGCTCCTAATTCTTCCATCAAGTTCAAAAAAAGAGTCACTGCAACAATTTTATTGAATGAATAAAGTACATCCTCAATGTCTTTGAACGTAACGATTCGGTTTTTATCAACAACCTATAACGATTCAAAAGTGAAATAAAACAGCATATTGGATGATGCCTTTATTATAAAGAATTAATTGAAGATCCAAATCGTGCCCTACTTTCGCAAAAACATCTCTGATAGGTCGCCACTGATATTTTGTACGCAATTTTTCTACTTCTATCCAAATCCGTTGATGAGATGACTTTAAACCTGTGGAACTCATTTTCTGACATAAACGGGTCTCTAAGTCGTCATACTCAGCTTCCTCTCGCACACAAAGTGTCATATCTGTAGTTACATTTTCTTTTTTTATATATTCCATAGCAGCGTTCCATCCTGAAACAAAAAACCACTCAAAGCTCTCAAAAGCAATTACTTTATATAAATTTTAGAAACACGAAAATAAAGTTTAAACCTTTCGCGTTTTCATCTCCCATGCGCGCCATGCCACTGTCCCAAAAAATTGCAAAGAGGCTGCGCTTGGAACTTAAACTTGCGTTATCTGGTAATTGAGGGACACATAGATTAAATTCACAAACAGCTTGAGTCATGCCTATTGCCTACAAAGTAACATACTGAAAATGATGAATAATCTTCATAACAAGAAAGGAAAAACGCAACTAGGAAATACAATAAGAATAAAAGCAACTAATGTAAATATGACAGATTTCTTTCATATAAAAAAGTGACAAATTACAAACTGAAGTTATTTCGTACCTTTTCAATATGTCCACATTTCAACAAAAGACGAACTTTGCGAAGAATAACGTCAGCCATAAAATTTTCAGTCTCTGGTAGAAGCTGATGAGATAGTAATTTACCAGAACGTAATTCTTCTAGTTTTGTCAAGCACTTCTTCATCTTATCCATCTAAAGAAGAACAGTTGCCGGTGGTAACACAATTATAAAAAATATAAAGATCATATGCGTCAGCAGATAACGAAATTAACCATAGAGTGTGAATATAAGAGTTAATAAGTAAATAACGCTATATATATAATGCACTATCGTCACGGAGGTTATTCTTCTCTTCTTCATTATTGATTCTGGCAATGAATCGTATTCTCGCATTCCCGCTTCGCTTGCCCTGCGTTCAGTTCTGTTGTGTTAATCTCCGCTGCTTCGTCCACGTCGAAACCACGGCGCTGATCGACTGGATATATACCTCAACATGATCAGATACACTGATTCCCTTTGCGTAACGTCTATGGAAGTTTGTCACTATCCCATCCCGAATCATCACATGCGAAATTATTTTCATTCTGCATGCCATCCTCTGTACTGAGTTTATTAGCCAGTAAATCATACCTTCGCTTCTCGGTTTCTGCTCTTATCAACGTGTCCTGACTAGTGATGCCAACTTCAGTCAGGATTACTTCACGTCGCTTCTTATCGTGTATCATGATATCCGGTCAATCTGCCTTTATTCTATTTACAGTTCTCATTCGTGTATAAACTCTAAATCTCTACGTTCTCACTCGCGACGACCTCCTGACTAGAATGGCTTCGTATGCGCTAGCGTATGCTTTTTGCAGAGTCCTAAATAATACATTGCAGGACTTCATTGCGTCTCCTAGTGCAGTAATG